TCAGGTTTGCTCAACTGTTGGGTTTGTGTTTTCAGGGTTAGATCATCTTTGACTGATACCAAGGGAGGCAGCCTTTGGTTTGCCCAACCTTCTGGGGAGAATGAGAAGGGATGGGAGGAGGTGACAGCTTTGGCACTCTGCAAGCTTTTCTGTTCAGTTCTTGCTCTGTGACAACCCTTCAAGTAGACAGGAGCTCTCTGTCTTGTCCAGGTGTTCCCTCCACTCTTGCCACAAGTTTTCCTTGCTTTTCAGAAACCTGTTGGCCCAGAAGACATGGGAGCCACAGCAGTGTATGAACTGGACACAGAGAAGGAGAAGGATGCCCAGGCCATCTTTGAGCGCAGCCAGAAAATCCAGGAGGTGAGTCAGCCCTGCTCCTCAGGAGCTCCTGCTCTGCAGCAGGAGAGCCTGTGCTTTGCTCATCCCCTTCTGCACACCAAGAAGAGTCAGAGTCTCATCTTCCCTACAAGTTCAAGGAGCCAGGAGTGCAACCTTTGCAAATAGGGGTTTTGTGCCTTTATTGGCATCTTGGTGTTAAGGAAGGCAAGGTGGGAAGGGAGACTGGTGTCAGAGTGGTGGCAATTGATTCATGTCATGAAGCTCTCCTGATCCTTAATGATCCCGTCTTGCTCTCCTAGGAGCTGAGAGGAAAGGAAGATGATAAAATTTACCGTGGCATTAACAACTACCAGAAGTATGTGAAGCCCAAGGACACATCGATGGGAAATGCCTCCTCAGGAATGGTGAGGTGGGTTGGGATGAGCCTCGGGGTCTGTGACCGCACCATCCCAAAGGCAGCGTCTGGGGCTGAACTCTGCTGTCACTGCCAGTTTCTGCCTGACCCGTGTGTTGTGTGGTTCTGGCCAGGGCCCTGCTCCAGGGCCACTCTGCAGCGGGGCTGAGCCTCTTTTCCCCCTTCAGGAAAGGCCCCATCCGTGCCCCGGAGCACCTGCGGGCCACGGTGCGCTGGGACTACCAGCCCGACATCTGCAAGGACTACAAGGAGACCGGGTTCTGCGGCTTCGGGGGTGAGTGCCCCGTGCTGCAGCTGAGCCCCAGGCATGCCAGGGCATCCAGTCCAGCTGTGACCCCGTGTTCGGGGTGCTGAGCCACAGCCCCTTCTGTGCAGAGCTGTTTGTGTAAGGCTGTCATTCGTGCCATCCCTTCTGAAAGCCCAGGGCCTCTAATTAGTGGTTATAGGATCCTGGAAGGGACCCCTGGGATGTTCCAGTGACCCACATTCTTACGGGTATTGTGTGGACTCAGAGCATGTGAGGGATGGGTTTTCCTGTTCCTTATCCCACTTCCCATGTGCATAACTGCTGGAACTGTCCCTGTGGCACAGGGAGGATGATGCTCACAGCCTGTCAGCACTGAGGGATCCCTGTACCTGCTCCAGGAGCTTAGTGCTGCCCTGGAGAAGGAGCAATCAGATTTCTCCTGCTGGGCAGAGCTTAGGCTGCCCTGGAATTGGGTGTCCTGGTAACACTCTGCCCTTGCAGCCTGTCTCTTATTTCCTCTTTCTCTGTGCTGCTCAGACAGCTGCAAGTTCCTGCACGACCGCTCGGACTACAAGCACGGCTGGCAGATCGAGCGGGAGCTGGACGAGGGCCGCTACGGCGTCAACGGTACTGGGGCCTCGGGGGACTCCTGCTGCAGGATCAGCTGGGGGGCAGCAAGCACTGACACTGCTGAGCACAGCTGCTGCTTTCAGACAGCCCCTGGCTCTCTGGGAAGGAGAGCACTGCTGTGTGGAGCTGGGAGATGGGACTGTCTGTCCCCCTGATGCCCAGGGGGTGGGATGTCATTTGTCACTCAGTGTCCAGAGCTCAGGAGTGCTCAGGGCTCATGAGTGCTGCTGTGCCAATGGGGGCTATTCTCTGCTCAGTTGGAGCCAGAACTTGGTGGCAGCTGGTTTGGAAGACAATCTAAAAAACAGGAGGGGGCTGGAGGATGTTTCTCTTTATAGCAGTGAGTGGGTGAAGTAGAAAAGAATTTTCTCCTGAGATGAGCAACAGGCCTGCTGGCTCATTAGCCCTAATTATAGCAGAGTCCCACACGTGTTACTGACATCAGCAACACCCAGATGCCAGAGCTGCATTGTTTCCAGCAGATTGAATCCCACCTGCTGTGCTCTCCCCTTATTTATTATTTTGTGCCCCACACATGGGCTGGGCTGGCCTCTCACTCCACTCTGGTTCACTTTCTGTTCTGCAGATGATGAAAACTACGAGGTGAGCAGTGATGAGGAGGACATGCCTTTCAAATGCTTCATCTGCAGAGGTTCCTTCAAGAACCCCGTGGTCACCAAGTAAGTGCTTGTTTGGCACGAGCAGCCACGTGTGCTGTCAATGCAGCTCGGGAGTCACTCATTCACTATTGAGGCAAAGACAAGCCCAGCCCACAGGCTGTGGGTGGGACCTGCTCATTGTCTGCCCTGGCTTTCGGGTGGGTGGGGGAATCCTGAGAGCCAGGGAGTCTCACAGCTGCATCTGGAGCATCCCCTTGGAAGGGATCTCAAGCACTTACTCAAGCACTTTTTAGATTTCCACAAATGCTGCCTCATTGCCTCATCTTTCCCCCTTAAGCCTGAGATTTTGTTTTCATGCCATCATTCCTCCTGCACACTGAATGGCAGCTGCACTGCCTGAGCAGAGAAATGTGTGCATGGGGAAGCCAGGAGCTTGGTGAGGATGAGGAGGAGGCTGAGGACAGCCCTGTCTCACTCTGAAGGCTGTCCTGTGTCTGGGAGAGCTCACTGGTGGCTCTGTGCTGTTGCTGCACATGAGTGAAGCAATGCTGAAACACCGTCCACTGGACAGGGATGGCTGCAGCTCACTTTTGCCTCCCTTGGGGACCATGGAGAGCTGTCAGGCAGGGGAAGGCGCTGCCCAGGGAGCTGGGAGAGCCCCCATCCCTGGGGAACAAGGACCAACTGGCCATGGCACTCAGGGCTCTGGTTTGGGTGACAAGGTTGGACTCTGGTGGAGGTCATTCTCAACCTTGGTGCTCCTGTGGCCAGCAGTGAGCAGTGTCTGACCCCAGGACACAGTGGCTGTGTCTGGGGCCCTGCAGTGAGCTCCGTGTCTCCGTCCAGGTGTCGGCACTACTTCTGTGAGAGCTGTGCCCTGCAGCACTACCGCAAATCCCAGCGCTGCTACGTCTGCGACAAGCAAACCAACGGGGTCTTCAACCCTGCCAAAGGTATGGGGCACCTGGGGAGAGAGGGGCTTCTGGGGGAGCACCTGAGCAGCAAAGACACCAGCTCCTTCCAGTTCACAGCTCTTGGCTGCCAGCAGAGAGCAGGTTCTAGTGTCAGGAAATATTGAATCCCAGCAGAGAGCAGGTTCTAGTGTCAGGAAATATTGAATCACAGATGCAACTTGAGCATCTGTGCTTGCCCAGGTGGGGAACCTGGGGAGCAAGTGGGGAGCAGAGGCAGCAGCTTGTGAGGTCATTAAAGCACTGAGGGAATGACTGCAACTGCTCCTGCCTGGACTCAGCCATCAGGGGTGGCTCCAAGCTGAGCCTCTGCAGGCCAGGGGTTTTTGGTAGCTGCCCTGGTCCTGGGTGTTCACAGCACCTGGAGCCCTGGCTCTGGGGCAGCCCCTGCACCTGGAGCCTCACTGTGCCTGTTCTGTTTTTCAGAGCTCATGGCAAAACTGGAAAAACACAAAGGGGAGGAAGAAGAGGAGCAACAATCAGACCAAGAAGGGGATCCACAGTAGCAGAACACATTTTGTACATAACTTAATAAAGCCCTGTTTGTAAGACTTCCTAACAAACCAGGGAATCAGTATCTTTTTACTAACAGTAAGATTAAATCAGGAACCAAACCTGATCATAGGGAGGAAGTAGAACTGGGCCTGGCCTTAACAAACACTCCTGCAACTGGGAGAATTTGACTGAAACTTCCAGAAAAGAGCAAGAGCAGGTGTGTGCAGCTTGTTGCTTTAGTTGAAGTATGTTTCTGAAGCATGAAGGCAGCTGCCATTAACTGGTGAGCTGTATGAAACTAAGGTACAAGCAAGCATGCACAGCCAGCCTGTCACCCTCTGTGATTCACTCCATCATCCTGCACAAACAGCAGACTTAAAAAACAACTTCAGAAATATTTTATTTGTTTTGGAAAAAAAAAAAAAAACCTAGAGTAACAAACTTTATCTGGGTTCAAGTACAATTTATAAACACAAGAAGGACCTGTTGCCAGCACCACTGCTCCCATCAACTGCACCTATACAAGGATTCTCAGTGCTTCAGTAAAGAGCAGATGACCTTCAGCACCATGGTCCTTGGAAAAAGAGTCAAACTAAAAGCCTTAAATACACCTCCAAACAAACCAAACACCACGGAATGGGGGAGAGCTGCCACAGCAGCAGGGCAGAGTCACACAGCCATGAATCACAGGGAGCCACGTGAGCAGCTTTTACCTGTCAGTGAGGGAAGGCAGAACAGCAATGGTAATGGAGAGGTTCAAGTTCAATTCTGTACAGGACTTGTGAGCAAGAGCATGAAAATCAATTCACTTTTCCTCTGTGAGGAACAGGCAGGTGAGTGTTTGGTGCTGTGAAACCAGCCCAGCTCACGTGCAGTTCAACTGAAGGGGATAAAAAAGCTGGTACATTGCCCAGGCATCCCCACTGCTCTGGTGACCCAGGAAGCTGGAAGGGGAGGCTGGAAGGCCCTGTCTGAGCCAGAGTTCAGAGTGCTCAGCATCAAAAGTCCTCTCCAGACTGGAAGGATCCAGTGCTGCAGAGCAATGCCCAGTGCAGCAGGAGTGCCTGGAATGGCATCAGTTTGTCTTTGATCTCCCATTTTCCATCACAAAGCAGTAACTAAGAATATAATCCCTTTTTCCCCCCCCCTTAAAACTTGTCCTGTGACAACACTGTTACAGGAACTTGAGTAGTTCTAAGAGAATGCCCAAAACTAAAAGCTGCCCACCTCCCCTCAACTCTAAGGCACCCTTAAAAGAGAAAGAACCAAAGAGGGCAGGGACATGCAGCCTCAACTGTGAGGAAGCCAGTGATTTTTAGAAACACATAAATAGAGACCATAACTACACAGACTCACTCAACACCCTCGAGTGCTCCACCAGAGCTCAGCTGGAAGAATGGGGGCTCTGGGCACTGCACCTTCTGGAATACTCCACAGCTCCTTGGGTTGATCCTTTCCCAGCTCAGGTCTGTCCATTTGTATCCAGGCTATTTCTTAAGTAAACAGACAGTTGAAGTTCCTTCCCAAGGACCTGTAAACTCTTCTGTGTGTAACATTCATCAGCTTTATGAACAGGACCAATAAATTACAATGTCCAGAAAGCTCCTCCTCAGTGTAGTCCCTATTTTTCTAGAATTCCCAGTCATCCACATCCAGCTGCTCCAGATTTGATACCAACCCGAAAATGCCACTGGGATCCTGGGGCAGTGTCCCTTCCAAATTGGTGATGGGGGTGACGGGGCGCAGGAGTTCGGGGAGTGCTTCGGAAGCACGGCGCTTGATCTGCACAGGAAGGACAGAATGAGACCCAGGAGGGCTCAGGTGCTGCTGCACACCCAGCTCTGCAGGCACAAACAACAGGAAATGCACAGGGCACCCTTTGGACTCCTTAAGGAGCAGGTTAGAACTGCCTCGCCCCAGAACTCAGAGCCTGCAGGGGAAGAGCTGTTGTGGCTCCCAAACCAGGCAGATTTAGAACCTCTCTTAGATAAGAGATGCTTCCAGAACAGCCTAAGCACCTCCCCAGATGTGACAACCATCACACTGCACTCACTACAAATAGTCAAAAAACTGACTTAATCTTCCTGATCACAGGAAATTCAGCAACTCGACATCCCCACCCTCACAGCCAGACAAAGCCAAGCATTTACCTGTAGCTAAATTAATTCCTTACCTGCTTAAAAAAGGGGTGACTGAGCAGGGTGCCTGCGCTGGGCCTGTGGAAGGGAGGTAGAATGAGGAAGCACACAAGAACATGAGTCAGTGCTTGAAGTCAGGTAGTGGGAATAAGGAAACACCAGGGTCCTTCCTGCCTCTCCCATTTCTCAGCTATTGGGTGTCTCCCTGTTTTCAGCAATAGCACTGCTTATTAAGCATATACAATCACATAATGTTTTATGCAAGGAGTTCAACCTCCTTCTTCTAAGTTACATACTTGCACACCCTACATCTGGCCAAGGACAGTACCTGAGCAGTGGGGCACTCCTGAAAAGTCTGTCATGGCTACAGATTGCCCTCACTAGAAAGAAAAATGCAGCTTTGATCACTTCCCATCCTCACTCTCTGCTAGGTGAGGAGCAGCCATTTGCAGCGATGGGAACTGGGTGAACACGGTGCCACAGGGGCCAGAAACACAAGTTGTTTATTTTCCTGATGTGCAGCACCACTCATCCTCCAAGGAAGGCTGCAAAGGGATTCATCAGGCCCTCATACAGGAAGCACTCAGAGTGTTAATGCTGCTCATTGCACACACTTGGACCAGACGGGGCACATCCTCACTCCACTTTTGCAAAGAAAACTGTGAACAATATCTGCTACCTCCCCCACTTTACCCAGCCCTAGAGCAGCACAGGTGGGGAGAGCAGCTTCCACAGGGCCCTACCTGAAATCAGGGTTCCTCTGGAGGCACTGCTCCACGAAGTTGTGGAAGTAGGTGGAGAAGGTGCGGAGGTAGGGGTGCAGGGCTTGCTCGCCGTTGGCCGCGCGCGCGTTGCTCACGGCCGCGCTCTCCCCCACACCGTAGCTGGCGCTGGAGCGCGACGTCTTCATGGTCAGCTCGTCTGCAGGGATGGTGGTGGTGTCCAGCAGGCAGGGGACAGTTCCATTCAGCTTCTCCAACAGCATCTGCAAGAGCAGGTGGGGCACGAGCAGCAGCACAGTCAAGGTTTCCCATTCGTGCAGGCTGCGCACCCTGCGGCGCTCACATCCCTGAGCAGGAAAGCAGCTCCAGGTGCCGGGATGAAGGAGCAGAAAGGAGCTTGCAAAGCTTACCTGAGTAGAAGGCATGTCTTTAAATGGGACATGGCCATTTGCCAGCTCACAGGCCGTTATCCCCACACTGTAAATGTCAGATTTTGCATCGTAACCCTGCAGATTCTACAGGAAAAGGAAAAGAATAATTAGCTGCAGGGACTTGGATGTGACTGAATGGGCAATACCCATGGTTTCAACTGCAAGTCAACAAACCCAGATGATTAGAACAAGAACAGCACAAGCCACAGACACACTGGTTTATAGTGGTGAGGTGAGGGCTTTTTGGTTTGTTAAACACACAGTTAAGGGCAATTCTGTAACTGAAATCAGCCAGCCTGTAGGGATGGCATCTGATGTAACACTTTGTTAATGAGACATCCTGTAGAGGTGCCTACAATTACAACTGTTGAGTCAACTTGATCAAATTCTACCCACTTGCCCATTCACCCCAAATCTGTTTCCTTTAGCCTTTCCCCTTCTTCTTCCTTGCCTTCATGTACCCTTCCCCTTGCTAGGGGTCACTGGTTTTGAGATAAAAAGAAGAAAAAAAATAAACTAGAGCTCATCAAAAGAAAGAAACTCTGCAGGTTCTCTCATGTCTCCCACCCTACACCCCCCCAACATCCCTTAAAGCTCACAAAATTATACAGATACAACACAGCATAAAACACACCTGCTGCAAAACCTCAGGACTGAGCCAAGGCAGCACTTTGATGCTGTATTTGGGGAAGTCATGAACAACTTTGAGTCGCTGCCCATGGTTGATCATGCTCAGGTTACTCCTCAGACCAGAGAGGTAAACCTTGCCATCCACAGAGATCAGGATGTGGCTGGCTTTAACACTCCTGGGGAAAAAGGAACACAACAGTCAGCTTCCCTGGCCTTTACTGAACAGCTCAATGCACAGGACAACACCTGATCAGCTTCCTATCAGGAGGCTCAGACTCCTAATAACCATCTTTGGATGCTGGGCAAAATCAATTAACAGGATTCTATTCATCACCTTTGCAAGTTCACAAAGACTGTTTCTGTGGCGAGGAGAAAGGCAGGACTAAAATGTTATGGAATGTGGGATAAATCTGCTCCACACCAAGACTTTCATGCAGCTTAGTGGTATCAGTGATGTCACTTCCATGAGTATCAAACTGATTTGCTCTAACAGCCAAGTAATACAAAACTCAGTGTTGTTCTGTGTCTCCTGACTCATCCTCTGCTCCACTCTGAGAATTATTTCCAAGAACTTCCACCAGAAGGAAAATGACCCATGCATTTTTCAATACCTATGCACATAGCCCATATGATGGATGTAGTCAAGTGCTTTCAAGACACCTTGGAGAATGTAAGCAATGGCCAGTTCAGTCATCCCATCTGTAAAATGGGTACAGATTAAATCTTTTGCAGAACCTAGAAAGAAACAAAACACCACCTGTCAGGACAAAAGCCCCAAGGACACTTCAGCTCCTCAATTTCATTTCATACAACATGAGGGTCAGAAAAAGGTACCCTCTCTCCACTCACCATAGGCCATGAAAGAAGTCACTACCCACAGCTCATTGTCAGCTATGAACGTTGCTTTGTATGGCACAATGTTAGGGTGGTTGAAGAGTTTGGAAACATGAAGTTCCCCCTAAAATAAAAGGTATTTTGATTAAATTTAGTAAGTGCAGAAACATGACTGCAGTATTGATAGGCACTGCTCTCACTGTCTGTCCTCTTCTAAGCTTGCATGATGAATGGTATTACCTGCAAGAATGTGACCATTTCATTCGTGCAGGCCTCCAAGTTCACTCTTCTGACTGTGACATACTCTCCTGTGGGTTTATACCTGGCCAGGTTCACAACCATCAAGTCTTCAAAGCCTCTGCCTGAAAGAGAAAGCATGAAAGCTTCAGTGATGCTTTTGGAAGCACTGAGAGAACTCCTCCAGCCCCTTTACCTTCAATAACCTTTACCCTCACTCACTGAAACTACTTCTGACCTTGTAAAAAAGAGTAATTGTTCCATGCCACCTTCCTTGGCATGTATCCCACTGAGGGGAACCCTCCTAACCAGTAGAATTGTTCTGCCCTTCCAGTGCAGGACTGAGGCAAGAGCAGTGATTAGGAGCACCAAGAGCAGGTTTCAGGCTGCCTCTGCTGACTGTACTGCACCCCAGCATCACTGATCCACTACCTGTCCCTCCCAGGTGAAAACCTTGAGGACTGGCATCTCAATTTTTTATTCCAATGATTTTAAAATCAAAGATGCAGACATCCAATATCAAAACTACGCAATCGATCAAGAAAAGGACAAATCTGCAGAAATTATTTGCTTTACAAAGCAGAACTCTGACCCCTCAGGCCTCGAGAATTACCTATGATAGTGAGCAACTCATAGCAGCTGCTGTCTGGCAGGAAGCTGCTCATGGTGTCCCTTTTAGGGGAAGGAGCTATCGACTCGGAGCTCGCCTCATTTGTCTGAGGAAAGAAAACGAAGTCAGGTCAAAGGAAATTCAGATCATCTGCTGGAAAAACCATCTGCCCCACATCATCACACACTTCAAAGTAATAGGAATACAGAAGAGGATTTAGGTGCTGTCAAAATAATCTTAAATAGTCATTTATCAACTGAAACTCAGGAGATGCCTCATTTCAGAAGATCCAGACATCTGTGTTACAAAACACATAACAAGTAAATTTTTAATCGCTGTAAGTGAGAATTTATTCAGGAATATTTTGATAAAGCCAATTATTATTCCCCAGGACAGCCTAAACTCTGCTTTACAGTAACTGCCTTTCTCTTAGAATTACAAACTCGTGTGCCACCACCCTGCTGCCTGAGCCAGAGCCAAGGGGAAGCTGTTCTGAGGCCTTCTCAGCACCACAACAGCTGCTGCTCCTGGTGGATGCTGCAGGTTCTCAGCTGCTCACCTGGGATAAGCCCAGCACAGCTGAAGCTGCTTAGCTGAATGGTACAAGTGATGAAGAAAATCAGACATACATGAAAAGAGAAGCTCCAAATGAAAGCAAAAACTGCAAAGCATAAGTGCTTCTGAATTAAATAAAAAAAAAAAGGGGAAAAAGCACCCTCAGACCACAGAGGGAAGCAGCATTCCCTCACTCCATCTGACATGAAGCTTTCTGCCTTATTTACATACACTGAAATCTTCCCCTGCAGGATTTTGCAGGTGATAAACTTCAATGTTCTTGCAAGTTCTTTTATACCTTCCAACTCCTTCAAATGTCCAAAGTCACAAGGAGAGTGATCTAAAGGGGATTAAAATTTATGTGGTATCTAAAATTGTCTTTAGTTATCTCCAATTTCCAGCACATTAACTCCTCCTGGCATTTGGAACACCAGCTCAATTTTTCCACCTCATTCTTCATCAACTGCAAATGCCCTTTATCAGACCTTTCTCATGGTACATGAAGCAGAAAAAGTTTGTGCCTTTTCCTACCATGAGAGCAGACTCTGCTCTTTATTTCCATTGCAGAAAGATGGAAACAACACAGTGACAGCTGCAAAACAAGGAACTGGCTGTTCTACCCTCAGCCCAGGGCAAATGCAGTGCAAAGAGCACAGACAGGAGTTTACTGGGAATTACCTCTGGGTTCTAAGTGTACCTTGGCAGTAAATTAGAGCCACACTTCCCAAGTTGCACCTTTTCAACTGGCTTTGAGGAGCACGCTGCTACCTTTAAAATAGCTGCATTTTCCATTAAGGGAGAAGGCAAAAATTAAGATTTGTGATGTTTTGGTATCTGCCTACCTTTAAAATAGCTGCATTTTCCATTAAGGGAAAAGGCAGAAATTAACATTTGTGGTGTTTTTGGTATCTGCCTACCTTTAAAAGAGCTGCATTTTCCATTAAGGGAAAAGGCAGAAATTAAGCTTTGTGGTGTTTTGGTATAATTTCAGCACAACCAACTCAGTCCCATCTCAGCATACCCAAAGCCCCTGGGAGCAGCATTCCCAGAGCCTTTCCTTTAGGGAACACTACAGTGCTATTGCTTGGCTCAGAACAGGCAGCAACTTCCCACTGAGGATTTCCAAGTTCTGCTGAAGAGGCCTGTCCATTCTGACCTCAGCTTTGTCATTCATTACTTCTTGCAGCAATTTCACACAGCAAGGCTGCCAGGAGAGACACACAGGCAGATGGAAACCTCTGAAGCACAAAGGCACCAGCGAGGAGATGGAAGCAGGGGCTGGGAAGCAGTCATGGAGCAGTGGCAGCTGGTGAGACACTGAGCAACATGTAAGTGGTTTGCTTTATTAAAAGTCCACTCCAGGGAGAGCAAAAGCCAACAAAACAGATGCAAAGAATTAAATAAATTTAATCTTATTAATGGTGTGGGCTGTGCAGTAATGAAAAATAAATTCTGTGAATTCCCTATTGAAAAGTCTTCCAGTTTGAGGGCTTCACTCACCTCTCCTCGTGTTAGCAGTGACCAATAACAGAGTTAATGCAAAAGGAGCTCAACCAGAGATTTATCAACATCATACAACAGTTTAAAAAAAGAAAGTTCAACTGAAATGTCATTTATGAGGTACTGCAAAAAAGCTCCTCAGTGGTTTCACACGGGACAATTTTTGGTGTATGGTCAAAAGCAGCTGCAAAATGAAGTCCCATATGAGCAGTTTATGGCATGACATTCATTCAGAGCTGGCTTTTGGCTTGGGAGTCCAGTTTCATTTGAGGTAGATTTAAAGGGAATGAATCTTTGAAAGGCAACTACTGGTATAAATGCCAGAACACAATCACTTCTGTGATGCTTGCAAGGATCTGCATTTGCCAATTCATCTGAGTCAGGAAAGGGGAATATCAGTTTGGTTCTGCTGCCTTCCCCTCCATCTCCTCACTCCCTCCCCTCACTTCAGCATAAGCAACAAAAATTTTCCTCCCACCCCCCTCCCCAAATTCTGTGCCTTTCTCTACAGCTCTGGTGGGAAAAAAAGGCTTTTATATCCCCAGAAAACCATTAGAAATAACCAAAACAGATGCTACTCTCAATTTGCTTCCAGCCAAACATGTCTAACACTCAGTAATTTTAAAAAGGTGTGAATTTACTCAATTTTATATAAAACATTCTAGATACATTTCCTATTCCTGCCCCAAAGGGCCCAATCCTGCTCCCCACCTCCTTGGGCCCAATCCTGCCCCTAAAGGGCCCAATCCTGCCCCTAAAGGGCCCAATCCTGCTCCCCACCTCCTTGGGCCCAATCCTGCCCCTAAAGGGCCTAATCCTGCTCCCCACCTCCTTGGGCCCAATCCTGCCCTAAAGGGCCTAATCCTGCACCCCTTGGGCCCAATCCTGCCCTCAAAGGCCCAATCCTGACCTCCATGGGTCCAATCCTGCTTCCCTTGGGACTAATCCTGCCCTCCTTTGGGGCCAATCCTGCCCTCAAGGGACTAATCCTGCTCCAGATGGTCTAATCCTGCCCTAAGGGGCCAAATCCTGACCTCCCTGGGTCCCATCCTGCCTAAAAGGGATCAATCCTGCTCCCCTTTGGTCCCAATCCTGACCTCCTTGGGTCCAATCCTGCCCTCAAGGGACTAATCCTGCTCCAGATGGTCTAATCCTGCCCTAAGGGGCCAAATCCTGACCTCCCTGGGTCCCATCCTGCCTAAAAGGGATCAATCCTGCTCCCCTTTGGTCCCAATCCTGACCTCCTTGGGACCAATCCTGCTTCCCTTGGGTCCAATCCTGCTCTCCTTGGGACCAATCCTGCCCTAAAGGGCCTAATCCTGCCTGATCCAGGACAAATCCTGCTCTCAATTTTATATAAAACATTCCATGTACATTTCCTATTTTGAGCTTTGTTTGTGCCAGTAAATTAAAGACACTGGCAGAAAAATCAATTACAAGCAACTGGAACTGACACAGTTATGATCAAATCACACTTAATTCGTGTTTGTAATGATCTGAAACTACAGCAACACCTGCACACCTGTGGTGGGGGCAGGTGGGGCAGCATTTAGATTAAGATACTCTCGTTTAGATTAAGATACTCTCGTTTAGATTAAGATACTCTCATTTAGATTAAGATACTCTGGTGTTAATTGTGGTGTTTTATGTGTTAAATGTGAGCAGTCAGGGCCTGCAGAACAAACACTTTTCAAAGGTTTCATAAAACTAAACTCTTCCTTCCTTCTCTGAAGGATCAGAACTAAATCACCTCAGAAAGAGACCCTTGAGGGGCTGGGGGGGAGGAGAATGACAAACCAATAGAAATCCAAGAGATTAAGTTTAAATTTTTGAGTTCTCACACACAGTTTGAAAACCACACACCAAAATCTCCACTCCAGGGTGAAACCTGTATCCACACTTGTAGAGCTAAATACAGAGATGAGATATATAACTAAGATAAAAAGAAAAATCAAACTTCCACAAGGAATAATCTCCATGCAATGAACCACAGCACCACAGCCTGCACAAGTCACTTACTTTTCTCCGAGAGTCACCCGGAGGCTGCTCTGGAGTAAAGAAATTAATTGTTCACCATGTTGTGTTCAACAGACAGCCATTAAAACAGAGCTGGAAAACTAAATAAATAACCCTGCTGACCCTTCTGGGTACCAAACAGACATGATTGTTTTGGTTTATAGAAAGACATTGAATTTGCACACACAGGTGCAGCACTGGTCACACTGCAGCACTGGACAGGATCAAAGAGATTCCCAGAGTGCTGCTGTTTGGACTTTTGACATAAATGTGACAATTTTTTTTATTATAACTCTAAGTATTAACCTTCTGTCATGTCCCTTATTGCAGGGGGATAGGACTTGGTGATCTTTAAAGGTCCCTTCCAACCTGAACAATTCTATGACTGTAAACACATTCAAAGATGACTCTTACATACAGAAGAAACTACCTAATATTATTTAAAGTGATAAAAATTCCTTTACTCCACCTGGAAGCTCAAAATCTAGACACATTTCCTATGCTCTGTTTGTTTTCTGTGTCACTGATCAGGAATTCTACATCCTAGTGGGCAACTTTGTTTGTTATGCAGAAGCAGAGCACAAACCTGTCAGAGCAGTTCCAAAATCCATTTTTACTCAAAAAATTATAATTAACCTTCCCAAACCCCAAATCCATCTTTTGCATACCAAAAAAAAAATCTGGTTCTGCTAAGCAATACAGAACTATCTTAGAACTGTTATCAACATGGAAATGATTTCCAAAGAACTTGCTACATCTTGGACACTTCCATGTTAAATTTCTGGGCTTAGACAGCTCAAATACATTGATTTACAATGAGATTTAATCATCTCTTTTAGAGATAAAATCCATCTTTACTACCAAATTACCAAGCTTTACAGCTAAAATAACACATTTCTAGCAATGTCATTTAACAAGAGGAAAACTTACCTCCAAACAGCTCGAACTCTCTCAATCCCTCAACAATGAACTTCTCAGACACCCACCGCTGAAAGAAATAAAAATTCTCCACACAATCAGTTATTCCATCTAGAGAAAAGTTTCTTTTCCCCTTCCCCACAAGAAAAAAAAAAATCCAAATTTCAATGATTCTGCTGTGGTCTGAAATTGATTGAAATTGCTGCATCACCAGTAACATCCTTATTTTGGACAAGATATTCCCTTTTTGGGCCAATGACATGCAGCCAGCAATCACAGAGGTGCTGCTGTTATTCCCAATCAACATGCACTTGCAATAAAATTATATAATTTAATTCATTCAAACAAGATTTTATGCATGCACATATAGCAAAAATAATCAAGTATGCAACAACCCCCTCATACAGCCAAATAAAAGTTGGCTTTTTAGGTGCAAGAGGTTTAAAAAAATGCTTTCACTATTTACAAAGAGGTGGTATCTCTGAGAATTCAAATATTCTGGTTATATCATCAATCACAAACACTTCCATAGCAGGATTTGCTACTTAGCAAAATAGTTTAATAAACAGTTGATGCTGTTCAGTGCACGAGAAGCCAGTCCTAGAAAGCACCAATGAGTCTTTAGGTGATGATGACTCAAAACTTGTATCTAAGAATACCATTTGAATGCATCAGAAGTCATTCTGCTGCTGGAAATTTCCTCATTTTCTGCTGAAAAGCAGAATCAAACAAAGCTCTTGTGTTTAGCTTTGCAAGCAAAGTGAAGGGGAAAAAAATCCCATAAACTGTGACCCAGGTGAGGAGGCTACTTCTTAAAGAACGACTGAAAATAAGCAGATTTATGGCTCTTTTTCTTTCATTAGAGCTCCTCCAAGCACACCCCAAGGAGATCCAGGTGTATGTGCCAGCAATAAAGGCTTTAGTGCAGGGTTTTCAACCAGCGCTGGTCGCACACCGACCTATGTCCTGTCATCAACCCTAAAATCAGTTTTTCTGCGCCCTTATGGTGCTCTCCAGGCCCGGCCACTCTGCACAAGCACAAGACTCGTTCTACCGAGACACGAGGGAAGCTGGAAGTCTTCAACACTCACCCTAATGCGCTCGGGTTTACTTACAAGGAAAGACATGGATCCGCCGCTGTGGGACACGCGCAGCAGAAAGGGCGGCACACCTGCGGGCACAGCGGCGCGTCAGCCCCGGCGAGCACCGAGCCGCCCGAGGCCCTCACACACCGCAGCCCCGGAGGGCCCCGGTAAGCACCACCCGGTACCCCCACAAAGCGCCGGCAGCCCCGAACTCCGACCGGGCCCGACAGCCGCAGGAGAGCGGTAACTCCGGCAAGAGCTGCCCGGAGCCCCCCAGAGCAGGACAGCCCCGGGCCCCTCACCCGTGCGGGGCCTTCCCACACACCGTGCACCGTCCCCAAGCCCCTCACCCGTGCGGGGCCCTCCCGCACAGCCCCGCTCCGCTCCGGGGCCCCTCACCCGCGCGGGGCCCTCCCGCACAGCCCCGCTCCGCTCCGGGGCCCCTCACCCGCGCGGGGCCCTCCCGCACAGCCCCGCTCCGCTCCGGGGCCCCTCACCCGCGCGGGGCCCTCCCGCACAGCCTCGCTCCGTCCCCGGGCCCCTCCCGCACGGCCCCGTTCCCCCCCGGGCCCCTCACGAACCCCTCAGGCTGCGGCCGCCGCCGCTCACCGGCGAGAGACGCTGCGCGTGACGTCACCGCGCCGACAGGTGACGCTCGGGCGCGCCCGTATGACGTCACGGGCGGAGCTCCCGCGAGCGGCGGGGAAGGAGCGGGCGCCATGTTGGGTCCCGCAGCGGGTCCTGAACCTTGGCCACATCCAGGCGCGCAGCACGGCGGGCAGGAGAGAGACACCCGCTGGGAAAGAGCTGGGGGTGATGGCTGACAGGCAGCTGAACGTGAGCCCAGGTGGGCAGCAAGGCCCATGGCACCTGGCTTGTCAAAAGATTGGGCAGCAGGGATTGACCCCCTGTGCTGGGTCCCCTCACTTTAAAAGGATACTGAGGGGCTGGAGAGTGTCCAGGGAAGGGAACGGAGCTTGGAAGGGTCTGGAGCACCAGGAGCAGCTGAGGGAGCTGGGCCGGGGCTCAGCCTGGAGAAAAGGAGGCTCAGGGGGGCCCTTGTGGCTCTGCACAGCTCCTGACAGGAGGGCACAGCCAGGGAACAGGGACAGGATAAGGGGAAACGGCCTCAGGCTGGGCCAGGGCAGGATCAGGGTGGCCATCAGCAGGAATTTCTGCACAGAATGGGTTCTTAAACATTGGAACGAGCTGCCCAGGAGCTGGTGGAGTCCCCATCCCTGGAGGTGTCCAAGGAACAACTGGACATGGCACTCAGTGCTCTGGGGCTGGGTGACAACGTGGGGATCCATCACAGGTCGGACCATCTGTGAGGTCTCCAAACAAATGAGTCCCGTGACTCTGTGGGTCCCTCAGAGAGTGGCCAAGGCTGTGCCCCAGCAGGGACCCTGCTGTGCCCACCTGTGACACAAACCCCGGGGCAAATCCTCCATGTGGGCCCAGCCCAGCTTACCCAAGGGGGCACGGCTCCTGCAGCCTCCCCAGCAGGAACCAGCTCCTCCTGCTGCTAACAACCCACACCAAAACTCACTCATTCAGAGCCTACTGAATGAAAGGAACACTGAGACAAGCCAAGTAAAGCAGGAGTGTTTCAATTATATTTTACTCTTCATTAGATTGTTCATTTGAATGTTTGTATTACAAAATTAGCTGCCATGGCCCACAACTGGATGGGACTTCAGGAAAGCTGTCTGCTTACTCAAAAGAGCACTAACTAGTATTTCCTTTCAAAGAACTCTGTGAAACAATAACATATTAATCTTTAAAGCTAAATAGTGCTAAAATTTCACATAATCTACATTAGTTTTGGTTTTAAATAATTTTACCAACCATTATAAAATTAATGTATTTGCATGTATCAGGTTACAGACATTTGCATTTCAATCAGGGTGAAGTATCCCATGCTGGAAGAAGGAGTTTAAGCAATTGCTGTTTCAACAGCAGCTAATTCTTATTGCCTCAGAACCAAGTTTCCATGAAGTATCGAACAAGAAAATGCAGGACATTGTTTCCCCACAAAACTGTTAAAAGTCTGTTACAAGCAACAATAAAATGCCTTCTGGACAGGAAGCATTTATAAAATGCAGAGCTCTCCCAGCGAAGTGTTTGCACAGGGCATTCACTTCATTCTTCCCATTTAGATTCAAAACCCTGAAGAGATCACTGACCAGATGAGGAGGAGGAACATCCTCTGAAAGGTTTTCACTGGCTTGGGGAGATCAGGAATTGCGGGTACTCCACTAGATCTGGCTCCTGGCAGAAGTGAGCAGGGCAGCAGCTGCTGAGATCAGGAGAGAAGGGGTTGAGGCAAACTTGAACTTTTAAAAATACTGAAGGAAAGCTGGCTGAATGCTAACTCAGCATGCACTCACTCCTGAAGGAACACTGTGCTGACATCACAGATTCCACATTGGGTTAAGTTTGCAGCATCCAAACAAGTAGGAAACTCTCCATGGATTCCATTCCCTTGGTTCTAACCATCTCTATGTTTTACACATAAGCCAATCATGCCCACAGCTGACCTAATACTGCTTCAGGCCTTTGTTTGTAAAAAAAAAATGAAGATAAAAAAATCTTCTACTTCTATTAGAACTTCTATTCTACTGGGCTTAAATCCCTGAAGAATCCATACGGTGTATGGAAGGCTCTAAGTGTTGTGCCTTGATGCAAATAAATGCACACAGTAAATGTTTATTGTGCAGTTTGCCTCCCCCTAAGTTTTTCCCCTTTCCCCCTTTCCCTCACAATAACTAAAACCAAAGTTTAAAACCAAAGCATGAATATGTTACCAGCACACATGGACAGGTTTACAATCTTCTGTTTTTAAAGAACAAATGACAAAAAGCATTCAAGAATATTGCAATTTTTTTTTAACAGACAAGTAGCAAAACTTTGTACCACCTGAACAGAGCTGCCGAGACAAAGCTCTCCACACATTTTGCTGTAATACTTAAATAAGTAACACCAATGCAAGAACTTTTCTCTTAATGGTTACTAGTGTTCAAGGAATCAGAGGATTATGGAGTTATGATGGTCTTTGTACCCTGTGAATCACAGTTCCACAGGTGGCACCAGACACTTCTCACAGCACAGTCACATGGCTTTCACTTTGATTTGCTTCATCTTCATCTGCTTCTTCTCAAGCTTCTTCTGCTCACGCCGCAGAGCAGCTTCCTGTAGGCAAGGACAGGGATCTGAATCAACACAGGTGACCCCTTCAAGGACCAGGCAGATCCTTTCAGAGCCAAACAACAAAGCCCTGCAGCACTGGGCTCAGAGCTCACCAGGAGCCTTTGTGCGTTTCAGAAAGGAGCAGCAAACAGAAATCAAAGCTGCCACTGCTGCTATCCCCCAGGCAGCCCTGGAGGTCCCCCAGGAGGGATGTGCCTGTGACAAGGTGGAGCTGCCCTCACCTCCAGCCGCCGCTGTTTCTCAGGATCCTCCTCGTTCATGATTCGCTCCTTCTCCGCCCGTTTCTTCTCCTCGCGGCGGGACTGCGCAGCCTCCTGTCTCTGCACGTGGGTCAGCTTGAGGAAGTTCTCTTCCACCCGAGCCCTGTTCTTGTCAGCTTTTTGTTTACCCTTGGCACAGAGAAAAGCAAACTCAGGTTGTACTGAGCTCCCCACAAGCAGGATGCAGGATCTCTACCGGTCGTACAGAAACAGAAGGATCCAGTGGATCCATAAGGAGCCAGGGGTAATGGTTCCAGTTTCACACAATGTCAGAAGACAGAAAACCAGGCACTACTTACTTCTCTGTTCAGCCTGAACTTCTTTGCTTTGTCAATGGAGTAGATAACCATGCTCATCAGAGGCAGCAAAGACTCCATGTCCTTTGGGGAAGTGTTGCCTGAACCAGGCACTGAAATAAAGAGTTCCTTGTTCACTCACACAGACTGGCAGTACTTGTCTGCTTGCTGTGATGCTCTTCCCTTATGGCTCACACTGTTCATGAAATAAAGATGCTCTTATCCTGCTCCTTAGGAAGCTTCATTTAGAGCTATAGGCTTCAATTTTGAAGAGATTTGAAGATCTACTCTTATCTAGAATTCTCCCAACAGGCTGCTTTTATTTCAAACCAGGGTAAACCAACTGAGCCTGTGCATGTTCAAACTGCAAGGCTTGTGGTTTAAAAACAAACCACCCTGAGAGGAGTGTGAGCTGAGGTCAAGAACAGCAAGACTGAGTGTCCTGTTATCATGACAATATGCTGCTCAGTCTCCAGTGTATTGCTGCCTTCTGTTTATCAACCAATGATCCTGCTACATGCACTGAAGTCACTCATCACACATTATTTTCCACAGGTGACAGATCATGAGCATGTGACTTACCCAAATAAAGCCACACACACTCCCCCAGACACACACAGACAATAGAGCCCTTACCATTAAATGTAAACAAAAGTGTCTTTTTAGTTTCGGGCAGTTTTGTAAGCTGGCCCTCCCTGGAGGAAAGAAACAAGTGTTTGGAAAAAGTGAAGAAAAATACAAAGTAACTTAACATTGGTCTGAAAAGCCATCAAGAACCAAAAGCCACTTGGAAAGTACTTGAAAAAAATAAACATTAAAAGCCTGGCTATAACCCAAAGTTAAGTTTGGGACTAATCAGATTCCAGAAGTGTTTTACCCAAAAGCCTGCAGAGAAAAGACATCAGTGTGAAAACACACAGCACCAGCCCCTCTAATGTCAAGTGGGCATGGGAGCACTAAGAAGGACTGTGTATTTTGAATTACATTCAGCTTCACACACCCCCTTGTTGTTTATACCACTAAAGATCTCTAAATATTTAGGAGAACAAAATATTTTCTCAAGAGTTTAAGTATTCGCTGCCCAAAATCCCACAGTATTCTAATGTGAAAATCTCAGACCTCTATTTCACAGATCCTCAACAATTTTAGTACAAGGTATACACATAAGCTGTCTTATAATTAAATCAAAATATGTTCCTTTGTGTTCATTTATTTCTATGCCTGTGAGCATAATACACAGGCACGTGCAAAAACCTACGTGGTAATTCAGGTAAGACACATCACCCACCACTTGGAATGGTGAAGCAGCCCCTGAAAGCACCTCTGGACTAGGAGGCTCAGGGAGAAGCAGAGCTGCTGCCTGTGTGTTGCTGAGGCACAGCTGCCAGACAGCCTTTATACCTACTCTTGCATAAGTTTTGGACCGGAGAACTGGTCCGAGAATTGGACAGAGTCGATCTTGTCAGCGTAGTGTGTGAGGAAATGGATCATCTGAAAGAAAAACAGGGGTTAGTTTTTCCCAACACCAACCCAGCTGCAGCCTACCCACTCCAGAGGGGTTTGCCAGGTTCCCTGCCCATGGCAGGGGTTAGGACTGGATGATTTTTAAGGTCCCTTCCAACCAAAACAATTCTACAGTTCTATATATCACTCAGGAAATTGCTGTGCCCAGCTTGCCACAGTGACACTGATAAAGATATGAATTTTCCCCTTTAACTTTTCATTTTAATTTTTTTTAGAACATACAAGTTGTAAATGCCAGGATTACCAAGGAGTATTTGCATTCATTAATTGAAGTTTACCTTAGCGTCCATCATTCCCTCCGTGACCTCTCCCATCTCTGACAAGATGGCCAGCGAATCTGGAAGCCCATATTTTGCACCAGACTTAGGTTTATCACTGCAGAACTCACTCTGTTTCAAAGAGAACAATGCAAAAGAAAAATAAACACAAGCCTGTAAGTATCTTATCAGACTGAACTGTTCTGGAACAGAGGAACCTCTCAAAGTACCTGAAAAGAAACAATAAAAAATACACTCATTCACTCATCCTGGCTGGGGACATTTCAAACAAGGTAAAGCACACAGCACCAACAATCTTTAAGCTAGTATTCTCCTTCAGGAGTCAGCATTTTAAGGAAGAAGATAGAACAATTCTAATACAGACATATTGGAGTGTTCAAAGTGGATTAAGGCATTTTGCTTACATTGTTTGATAACAGAACAAAAACTGGCATCCTACCAACCACACATCATGCTATTACTTGAGAGAAAAGATTTTTTTAACATTATTTGTTATCACTGGATTCTTTGCAAGCTCTGCAATTCTTTTCATGGCTTGAACATACGGAAAGTTTTCATTCCAGATCATGTACAAACAGATGACTTAAACCTAAATTTTCCACATCACAAATCATTAATTAAGTTTACTTTTCGATCCTTGAGGATGTCTTTTGTGCAAATGAAATGAGGTGGAGTGACACACATATTTGCTGACAAAAATCTGCAGCCTCACTTCCACCAACTATACTCAAAAAAAAAGGTGTGAGCTGTTTTCCACTGCCTCCTTCCCTGCAGGTCTGATGGGGGCAGCATTTCTGATGGTTGATTCCATTAGACTTTTATCTGTAAATGGAAATATCTTTTCCACACGTCACAGGTTTTCAGCTGTTCCCAAGAAAACAATGAATATGCAGATTAGATTCTTATATGCTGTTTATAACGTGCATGTACATACCAGGTCCTGCATCTCTTTCTGAAGTCTCACCAGTGCTTTTCTGGTTCCAACAGCAAACACATACGTGTCCATATCTTCATCATTCATTGTCACTTTTATTTGCTGAGAAACAGAATGTTATTAGCCCTGGTCAGATTTCAATGTCTGTCTGATACTTTGATTCCTAAGAACAAGGACTATGCAAGGACAGACACAGCTAAGGAAAAGGTGGTTGATTTAAAGCTTTTCAGTATGTCTTAAAGTAAGGAAGCTTTTTAATTAGACTGAGCACACCATTCAGTATTGTGCTGTAATGACAGTGACTAAAACAGCAGAGTTGTAAAAATAATTTGCAATTAAATATTTTGATGTAAGTAAATACAACTACAGATGCATGGGAAGAGTATTCACAGTGCACACAGTCACTGTTCTTCCAAATGTAACCTCTCTTGGCACTTATGCTCTCTGAGAGCGAGTTGCAAGGCAAAAGGTGACATTAAGAATATAATATTATAATATCCAGACCAACATATGGGTTTAAGCAGTCCTATTCAGGCAGAGTGAACAGACAGATGAACAATCAACAAGCATTTCAGACTGTAAAACCACTTCTTATCAATATGACCTCTTGAATCATGACAGACTCACAAAACCACCCAAATGATAAAATCCACAGATAAAGCAACTTCCAGTCATCAGCAGTTTGCATTTCACAGGCAGGAAAGAAACACAAACAATTCTTTGAGGTTGTTTCAATAGTTACTGAACTGGAAGATATGGAATACTACAGAAATCACCTGGAACAATCAAAAGCAGCAGAGCAGAAGTGAAGGAATGCAACAGTTTATCAGAGCTAATCTGAGTACGCACCACTTGGTCTGAGGCCGGCCTCATCATGCGTGCCAGGACGTTCAGCAGGTCCTGCCTCTTAAGAAACTGAAAACACAAGGTGGCAAACACAGAAAACAGCTGAACAGACACCACTAAAAAACACCTTCCTAATGTCTAACCTGAGTTTTCCCTGTGTCACCAATACAGCTCAAAAGCAGGCCCACTTTCTGTATTGCAGGAGTTTCTCAGGGCTTTGTCCCCCCAAGTCAGAACATGAACTGTGGGACTGTTTCAACCCAGGTCCAGGGCTTTGTGTTTGTCTTTGCTGCTCTTCCTTGGAATTCCTGCTGGTCCATTTATCCCTCTAAATGGCAAATAGGCTCTTCAGCCTAGAGTTACCTCTGTTCACACTACACCTCTGGTTTTTACACTGTTCCTGCAAGCACTTGCTCTTTGGTGCCAACCTTAAGGGGCAGAACACAGGTCTGTACAGACCTTCAGATGATCAGTTTTTCCTCATGTGTGTGTACTCAGAACTCTGTGTCTGAATGTGAGCACAAATGCCAAGCTGGGATTCCATGTTGCCCACACAAGAATGGGAGAGCCTCTAGAACTTGACAACTGGTGACACACAAACAGCACCACAAACTCCCTCATCTTACCTTTAACTGGATGAGCATTCCTTCACAGCACACCCTTCCAGAGCACCACAAGTTATATATGTGTTCATTTTCTTGATTTAGTTTCCCAGTGCTTGTAGCTTCTTTATTAGTGCCATCATCCCCTGAGGAAAACACCAGTGAAAGAACCTCAATCTAAACTCACAAACTGAGACACCATAGTTCAGCAGAGGGCTTACAGCTCACAATGCCACAGCACAGAGAAGGATTCTCTACAGCCTAAATGCCAGACTAAACCCAGCTTTATTCAAACACTAAAACCAAATTCTTGTCATTATGAACTCACCAACAAGAGCAAAGTTACTTTCTAGCAGCTCCCTGTGAGTGTTGAACCAGGCATGAGCCAGGCGGTTGTTTTTGTTCTTGCCAATGATGTAGTTCATGATGTAAGCCAGGAGACCTGTTACCATCAGGATCTCCATGTAGTAACTCTCCCAGCTGTTTTGAAGGTGAGCAGGGACCTGTGTAAGGGAACAGAAACTGTGATTTACATATTGAAGAAGTGGATTTTATACACACAAAAATTTGGGAAACACGGAGTAGTGAAGTTCCATCCCCAACACAGCAATAAGCTCCACAAAGGCAACAGGAGAGAGCTAAGCCTACATAAAGCACTTGGCTTACTGGGGCACAGTAATCATCCAGGAAACAACTGATAACAGCATTCCCAAAATACCTGCTTAACACAAAGACAAAAGTACTCACTTCCATAAAAATGCAAACCTTGAGCACCTGATCATTCTGTGAAAGATTATTTTGGGAGGCAAAAAGGTGATGCAGGGTGGGCAGAGAGATTGGCTTCAAAAACCAACCAAGCTGACAAGTTCTAATCTGACACTTAAGCCACAGACAAGCTAAAAACACACTGTGTTCATTGTTTAGTACCCCAGTGACATTCCTGGCATACTTGTCTTAAGAAAATAAGTGATGAAACTCCAAATAGACACTGCATCAACAGTTATACCTACATTAACTATTGTTATGGGGTCTTTATTTTTGCTATGAGATGCATCTGGTTTCTCTTCATACCCTTCAAACTCCTCATCATCGTATGGCTCACTCTCGGTGTCACCTTCCTAAAGGATGAAATCACAAACAGCATGAAAATCCAAAGCCCAGCAAGTAAAATCCAAAAAGAGAAAGAAAGGTGCAGACACACTATTAGGAAACACATTGAGGAAGGAGGCAAGGCCTTACCTGTGTGTCTGCATCATCAAAGTCTTCCTGATTTTCATCCTGACCCTCAAGCTCTACAGTGGCTTCTTCTTCATCATCTTCTGTAGTGATGATCCTCTGAGGAGACTCTGTGACTGTATCTTCACTCACATCTTCAAATTCAGCAAAGTCATTATCATCATATTCCATAATGTCATCTCCATCCTCAAATTCATCATATTTTGCCAAAGTAAAGCTCCATGGGATGAACAGGACAGCGATAAAAATATATAAATTCTTCATTTTCACTGGGAAAAAAAAATTAAATCAATCATTGCAAAAAGTCCTTGTCAATTCTGTTACATCACACCTCCAGCAGCACCCAACCCACAGTGCACAATTTGATCTTGCCATCTTCTCTAGAAAGAAAGTGACTGCTGGTACAAGAACAAAATAACTCTGAAGGAGAGGTTCTGCACTCTGTTGCTTGTGGCAGCTGCAAATGCACATCTGGCCACACTGTTCAAATGAGCTGAGATGGAAAGCAGGGATGTTCTGCTACAGAACTGACTCTCCAACAGCATCTCCCAGCCAGCTCACTTCCAAGACCCCATTCTGTGTGTACAGTTGTTATTAATTAGCAATTAGGCACAGTCAGAGCACTGAATGTGTAATAGCAGTAATAAACCTTAAAATGCACTTGGTTCATTTAAACAGCAATGCTCTGAGAGCCTCTGCTAGTCCAAAAGTGCTCATCTGTGACTTTCTAGGCTGCACACTCAAAACTAAGTTCCCACAGAGTCCCATCATGATTTCTGCATTTCTTTAGCTGGAATTTGTGCCAAAAAAAAAAAAAAAAAAAAAGGGGGAAGAGGACAGATATGGCATTGCTCCCCAGAACACAGGAGTAAACTGGGGCTCAGGAGCCCAGAGCTCTCCCCACATCAGCCAGAACCCTGCAGAGTTTGTCACTTCCCCTTGTTTTGCCCTCAGCTTCCCGTCTCTTCTGCTCGAGTTCAAAACAGTCCCAACCTCCCCTATAGGTTGGAGCACCTTCTCCAAGGTCCAAAAAAGGCAGCAACAGCCCCCCAGCTGCACTCCACAACCAGGCACAGAGGATCAGCTGCATCAGGCTCTGCTGTCAGGCTCATTTTACTCCCTCCCGCAACCAGATCCGAGTGGGAACCTGAATGTTAATCACAGTGTTCTCTCACAAACTTAGAATAGAAATGATTTGTTTCTAAATTTGACCAGCATTCCTCTGAGTGCCTCATGCAGGGAACCCTGCTATGAATGACAAGGACGACTGAAATAAATACCTCTGTCAAACACTCCTCACTCCAGCAAAAACCTGCACAGAACATGGTCCCAGAACCTTACTCAGGATGGAAAGTTCAGCAAGACCGAGCCCAGGAATTTGGAAAATTGTGAGGGAACGTCACAATTTTATGTGAATTTAAGCAGAAAAAAACCCCCAAAATATTATTTCAATAGGACAGAATTTACACACTGTTGAAAATGACAGGACAACAGAGCCACCTGCTCGACCAAATTCTAACATTTCACATTAAGAACTCCAAGACTATTTGAGCACATCCACCTTCAGAAGACCCAACAATTCCAAACAGCTTAATGCAAAATCAGCTTCTGCAGCCAATTCGAAGGAAACAGTTGAACCAGAGGCGGGTGAGAGCTGGAGCACCCCCTTAGGTCAGCAATCCGTCAGAACGGCTTCCAAGTTCAAATTCCAGGAAGCAGAACACCCTCGGCAGGCCCTCCACGACCCGCACGCCACCGAGTTTCCCTTGCCAGAGGAACCGATTCATTCTCCAATTCCACACCGGCTGCCCAGACCCCACTGGCAAGAGAAACTCCTTCCAACAACCCGAAGGCAAACCCTGCTGCTGCTGCCTGAGCTGCACATTCACCGGCTCGGGCTTGCTCGGTAGATCTCGAGCGCAGAGCCGAGCTCGGTGGAGAAGCGCCGGTCCCAAGCAGCTCGGGCCCTCACGGTGCCCCCCGCCCGCAGCGGGGACACCACGTCCCGTAGGTGTTCGTTATCCCGCCGCTCCAGGGACGCTCCCAGCTCCTTCCCGGAACACGAGTCAAGGTTAACAAGATAAAATCAGCGATCTGCAGCCCTCGGCCCCGCCGCCAGCCCCTCCCGCCCCACGGGACGCAGCACAGGCCGCGCACGCCCGGTGCCCTCGGCACCAGGCGGCCCCTCCCGGGGAGCCTGCCGGTACCGAGCTCCCCAGAGAGAGCGAGCCCTGCCCGGCAGCCCTGGGAGGTGGGAGCGGGGTGTCCCGTCCGGCGGGGCCGGGGCAGCGTTACCTGAGTCACGGGCCCGGCCCCCGCCCTCCGCTCCGCTCCGCTCCGCTCCGCGCCCGCCGTACCGGAGCGCCTGCGCACTGCGGGCCCGCCGCATGTGCGGGGGTGTGCGGGTACACACGCGCGAGGGAAAGGGGGGCGAGCCCAGCCCTGCGGCGCGGGAACCACCCGAGAACCACCCGGGAAGCACCGGGAAAGCAGCGCGGTCCCGGGGCCGCCGCTGACGTTACCGTGTCTCGGTTTCGCTGCCGGGGTCCCGCTCCCGCCCGTGCCCGGTCCCGCCGCCCTCACTCCCCGCTGCTTCAGCGGCGGGCGGTGCGCGTGCGCCGGGGCACGCGCGGCCGCCGCGCGTCACTCACGCACGGTGCGTGGGCACGTCCGTGCGTCCGTCCCCACCCCCCGCCCCGGTAACCGGGGAAGTGGCGGCGGCGGCGGCTGCGGTGAGTGCGGGGCGCTGAGGGAGGGGAGCGGAGCGGGGCCGGGCACGGCGGCAGATCCTCCCGAGCCGGCCTGCGGGGCCTCTCGTGGGCGGCACCCGCCGTAGCCGCGGCCTGGAGCGGGCGCGGGCAGCCCGGGCCTGCCCCGCACAAAGGGCCCGCCCCGCACCGCGGTTCCGCGGGCGGGAAGGGCCCCGCGCAGGGCCCGGTGTGCCGGGACAGCGCCTGCCCGCGGCTGCCGTGCCCCCCGGCCCCGGTCCCTGCCGTGCCCTGCGGAGGGCGGGCCCGGCGGGCGGGGGTCCCTCCGCCCTTCCCCCTGGAACGGGAGCGGCCGGGGCGCATCGCGGCCGTGCCCGCGGATCTCGGGCGCCGCAGGCGGGTCCGTGTCCCGCGAGTTCCCTCCCGCGGAGCGGGGCCACAGCGCAGCGAACCCCCGGGGTTTTCCTGCGGACTCTGCGTCCTGTGCGAAGCTCTCCCTGCTCGCTCGCTGCTGGCGAGTGGGCGAACTGACCGTGTTTTGTACTTCTGCTGCTGTATGACAATAAAAAGTGGCCCGCCTTATTTTTTGGGGTAGCGGAAGGGGGGAAAAGGTGGATAAGTACAACGAGGAAGGATTCTTACAATCAGATTTTAACTTAACAGTTTTCAGAGGTTCCCACTGCGCTGTAACAGCAGAAATGCGGTTCCACCTCTCACCCCTCTGTTGTAGTTTTTATTCTCCCAGTGCCACGGATCCGCAGGTGTAAAAGCTACAGGGTGTCAGGACAAGGGGGAAAACAGGACTCCATGGTCAGTGCTGCCATGGAGAGCTGAACAGCAGAGTTTCCCCCGAAATCTACCACTGAGCTTTGGTCTTGACTCGAGATTTATTGAGCAAGCCCCACGCTGGTAAATGTTCAGCACAGGGACCAGCTGCACTATTTACCTTCAGATTGTTTTGAAGTTGTTTTTTTTGCCAGTGAGTTCTGCTCTCATTGAAGATTCTCAGTGTGAGGATTTGGTTAATAAGACTTGTAGCCTTTGGACAGTCAGTTATAATGCCCTGGAAAGCAGAGGCTGTCTTGCTCTCTTTCCTGCCTTACAGGTATGATTTGCTTGACCATGCAGGTAACTAAATGATTCAAGAATGGAAACTGTAAATATTAATATATCAGTTCAGTCATCATCAGTTCAATTAACATATCAGTTCAGTCATCATCTTAGAAAATCTGTAAATGTTAATATATCGGTTCAGTCAGCATCTTAGAAAATCTGTAAATGTTAAAATATCAGTTCAGTCACCATCTTAGAAAATCGACTTCTCGGCAGACACTGTTATGTGGAGGGTTTAAAATACTGTTTGAAAAACAGAGATGGGGGAGCACATAAATCTGTATCTGTATAACAATAGAAATGGTATATATGGCTGAAGGTGGTTTGAGAGTTGGCTTTTGGCAGAGATGTGCCTGGGCTCACAGGGGCCTGGTGCTGCTCTGGGCCCATTTCTCTGGAGGTTGCTGGGTTGCAGGAGTGAGGTATTGACTCAATAGCAATGAAACACAGATGGGACAGTGTGGACATGCAAAATATGCACTGAGCTGCCTTTTCATCTCTTGTTCCTCCTGGTGTTCAAAGTTCTGGCCTTGGGTTTGTTTGTCTTGGACTGCAAACAGGACAGGTAACATCTTAAATGTGTTTAAGTAATCCTTAAGTAATCCCTAAACATGACCTGTTCTGGAAGACAACCACTTTGGTTTTATTCTTCTTTGGAATTGTGGGTATGTTCAATCAAGACCAGAGCCCCATCCTTTTTGGGAAACAGATTAAACTCTTGTCACTCAGAGTTCCACAAGTCCCCGTGTCATGACTGAAGTGATCAACTCATAAGAAAAATCATGACAATTACCTATAACTGCCTGAACCAGAGCATTAATTTGCCTTTTCTTGTTTCAACAGGTCATCATGAATTGGAATAAAGGTGGACCTGGTACCAAGAGAGGCTTTGGGTTTGGTGGCTTTGCCATCACACCTGGCAAGAAGGAGGAGCCCAAGCTGTCTCAGCAGTCCCACAGTGCTTTTGGCACCGCCGGCTCCTCGGCAGCATTTGCGAAATCGGGGCCTCCTCAGCTGCCTTCCTTCTACAAAATTGGGTCAAAGAGAGCCAATTTTGATGAGGAGAATGCGTGAGTGCAGTCACTTCTCATGTTTATGTATCTCTAGATTTTAATGTTGTTATGTTTCTGAGGTCGGGGGAAGTATCTGTGACATTTATATAAATAAATACAGAATAATATACATAATATACTTACAAGACTGTGAGATGCTACAGTAGCCTGCAGAAGTTTTCCTCCTCCAGCTTTCCCCTCTCCAGAACATATTTTATTCGCTCTATGGTCTTCTCAGAGTTGGAGCCAAGTAGGATAAATTTGGGTGTCTTTTGCACAGGAAAACATTGATCTCCACAGTTCTTTACTAACCCTTCTCTTGGCTGCATAAATGTATAAATGAGGCAGCAAAAATCGGGATTATTCAGCCTGGAGAAGTTTGGGGCTGACCAAATTGTGGCCTTCTGGTACCTAAAGGGAGCCTACAAGAAAGATGAAGAGAGACTCAATTTTATGATACCTCTTTGCCCTGCCATTGCTTTGAACTTTTAACATGAATAGTTGTAAATAAATAAATCTCAACATCTTCTCTTGTCCATATGGGTACCTTGACTCAACCAGAAACCATCAAAGACAGCACAGTGCTGTAAGCCATGTGCTGACTGGGCTGTTGTTCACTTTTGTTCAGGTACTTTGAGGATGAAGAGGAGGATTCCAGCAATGTGGAATTGCCCTACATTCCTGCAGAGAATTCCCCCACTCGGCAGCAGTTCCATTCCAAATCAGCAGACTCTGACAGCGATGATGATCCTCTGGAGGCATTCATGGCTGAAGTGGAGGCAAGAGCCAGCTTGGGGGATGTTTATTCATTGCTGTGGCTGTCCCTGTGTGCAGTCAGGGGCAGCAAATGTCACTCAGGGCTTTGGCAGCTGCAGTCAAAATGCCACTTAACTTGGTGGTTTCTGTAGGCTGGTGTTAGTTAGACCTCAGAAATGGATTAGATAGAGAGTGGATGTGACTTACAGTAATTTAACTATTTAACAGCTTTGAGGATGTCAGAATAATGCAACATAGAGCTCTGCTTGTTTCTGAATGTCAGACTAAGGTTTTCTGTGTTTTTCACTACCTAAATGGAAATTGTTTGTGTTTATGAGCTGATTTTTAGCTACAATTCTGTTATTAGTTGGATTCAGGAGGAATATGGGGAATTTATTTTTTCAATAGCACTGTCACAAGCTTAGAGTAGTATATAAATTCAAAGGTACTAGTAGGAGAATTTATTTAGCATAATCACATATGGAACAAGCCAAAGATAAGTCCAAGAAGTGTTGTCTCTGTGACATAATGGTTGAATTATTCAGGAACATTTTTCCCTTCCATGTTTTACCATCTTGGTCTTTTTAACATGTGACAACTTTATGACCTGCTAGGATCAAGCTGCTCGAGACATGAAGAGACTTGAAGATAAAGACAAGGAAAAAAAGAACGTTAAGTAAGTTCTCTTTTCTCATTCCCATGCCTGCTGTGTCTTGGATGGTGCTCAGAGAATTCCAGTGCATTTTGTTGATGATGGTTCTTCATTAGGCAGTGTAGTATATACCTAATAAACATCATGAACCTGTGCTTGAGATGCTGTGGGTAATGATTTGTGCTGTAAAAATGGGATAATAGGAAAGAATCCATGGCAGCATCCCATGGCAAACTGCAGCAATACTGAGTTATCCCCTGCCAGAAGCCTTTCTAGGTCACAGAAATAGGGGCAACATGTTGTACTCCTGCCACTTTCCAGATCAGCCTGGATAGTTTCTCTGCTTCCCACACCCTTGGAGAGATCAGAGTGGTTTAGCTTAAAATTGCATTTATGTGAGCAAAATAAGTCAGTGCTGCTGTACCTGGACTACTGGAGACTCTTCTAAACTTGGACTAGGTATTAGACATTAAAGCTGATAGATTAGGTAGCACATGACATCTGGAGTTTAAAACAGTTTAAATTCGTGCAGCTTATCCATTTGTTTTGGCTAAGGAAAATAATGATGCTGCTGATTCTTGATAGAAATGTCAGATAAATTGATAGAAGTTACATGGCATGGGGTTGATCAGATCATACATGGTCCTGACACAGACACTGGATCCAAATCACCACCTGGGGAAGTTCTGAACTGGATTTGCACTTCCTGGCTCATATTCCTCTTCACTTATGGGTCTTCTGTAGCATCAAGAGCTTAGACCAGGATGATCTTTGATGTGGCTTCTGCTGGGAAGATGGAATCTTAATCTTCCAGTACTAGAAGTAAAGAGAAGTCTTGGCAGGGTCACTGCTATGGTTGGCACCAGATATGAAAACTCCATGGGTTGGGAATATAAATGTTGCCCTGTTGATAGTGTTGTGTCTTCCACGAAATCTGGAGCTCAGCACTAATCAAATGAAACTATTGAGCTGAGTCTGTGGAACACTTGCAGGGAAGTTTTTTCTCCGCTTGTTTTTCCAGGGGTATTCGAGATGACATTGAAGAGGAAGATGACCAAGTGAGTTCCTATGCAGTCTTTCTATCTTCTTTTTTGTTGTTTTGTATTTTTTAACTTTCCCTCTCCAAACACCTAACTGCTAGGGACAAACAAAATTCCAGTATCCAGACAATTCAGCAGGAAGCTGTAGTGGTTACCCTGCTCTCTACCCTTCCAGGTGTTTTAAGAAGAATATTAGACAATTGCATTCACTGATGAAGATTCCTTTCAGCCAGTTTGAAGTTTCCTGTACAGATTGTCAGTGTCTGAGGATCTTACACCTTGCAATTAGCACCAGCAGCTGTAGCAGACACCAGGGAGAGGCTGTTGGACTGTGGAGGCTCCTTACAGTGCAGTGTGGGGTCTGTTCAGGGCAAGAATCAGGCTCTTTGATCCCTGTTTTCAGAGGAGCTCCAGTTCTCATTGAGCTTTATGAGTATCACTATAGCAGAAATAATCAAGAGAACAAACTTAATTTCAAGATGTACCTTCCTACTGAGTTGTAGTTACTAACACTTGTGTTACTTGCATTCATGCAGAGCTTGGCAGGATTGTGTGGCCTTGAGGGCCTCTCCTTCCAGTGTAGCTGTGTCAGAGTTTGAGCTGAGGTGACTTTATGCCTGGGGGCAGCTGCTGTTCAAGTGTATTGTGTGCATAGCTCTGAGACCGAGGGATAATTGGCCAGGAAAATGGAAAATCCAGATGAGTATATATGTATATTTGTAATTGAGCCTTGCTTTACAAATCTGATCTTAAATATTTGCTTCAAGTCAAGCAAGACTGGTGTTTTCTCTATGAGGAAGTGTCACACTGGTGTGCCAGTGAGAGTCTGAGACACAAACATCTTTGTGAGCTGTGAGGATGGCACGTGACAGGGTGACAGTGGCTTAACTTGGGCTTGTCTTGAAGGACTCTTCTGAAATGCTTTCTTTCACATTTGTTGTTGACTCAGTGAAAAATAGATTTCTCTTCATTTCCTGAAGTCTAGTTAGGGGAAGTCAAGAAACTATCTTTGGCATAGCATGTTCAAAAAAATCAATATCATGTGCTCAGTAACAATGTGTTTTCTGGTTAGAAACCTGCAGTGGTTTGTTCTTTGTGCTTTGTTCCTGTGGAAATTAGAATAGATCCTTCTGTTGGTAAACACAACAAGACTTGGTAGAAGGAGCTGTTAAACAGACACAAGAGAAGTTTGGCTTTTAGGAGCATTTTGTGGTGTAGCTGACACTGGAGTTGTTTTCTTCATTTGCACTTCTTGCCCTTCAGGATGTATCTGTTGGTGTTTATTAGAAGAATCAGCTCTAGTGGAAGTAGTTGCCTTTTTCCTCAGTGCTGGGTGTGAAAGCCAGCAGCCACTTAGCACACACCTCACTTCAGTCAGAAGTCCTGCTGCATGCTGCTGTGTGTGAGTTTGCTGATCTGTTTTGCTGCAGGAAGCGTATTTTCGCTACATGGCAGAGAACCCCACTGCTGGTGTGGTGCAGGAGGAGGAGGAGGATAACCTGGAGTATGACAGCGATGGGAATCCGATTGCACCCTCCAAAAAAATCATTGATCCCCTTCCACCTATTGACCATTCAGAGGTAGGAGGGATTTCTCTTCTGTTCTGTTCTGTTTGAGGCATTCCAGAAAGCAGGAGCTGAGGAGGGCCCTGTAATATTTCAGTGCTTTCTTAGGTAAGTCGTACTAAATTTCCTTGGAATGGCTTCATTTAAGCAAATGTTCTGGCAGACAATTAAGAACTTCAGAGAAAAAAGCATCTTGAGTCTGGACTAACTGAGTAATGAATTCATTACATTGCAGATTGAATACCCACCATTTGAGAAAAATTTCTATGATGAGCATGAGGAGATCACCAGCCTGACCCCGCAGCAGGTGGTGGAGCTACGGCACAAGCTCAATCTCCGGGTAAGCTGGTGCCAAAACTGCTCTGCCAGCAGCTTGGAACTCCCTTTCAGCCTTGGACTATCTTAGTTTAAATGAAGATTTTCACTGGGAACTCCAGCTTTTGAATCCAGTCCTCTCAGACACCTGCAGTGATGCTGATTTCTTGGAAGTCTCCTATGGATTTGTGAAAGTGGGCAGTGAGGAATGGTGCTTGGACTAAAGACCTCCAGAGCTAGGAGTTAAAACTGGAAATAAATGCAGAAATTAGTTCTTTGCCATTTCTGATGTGTTTGTGGGGTGACCTGCTGTGAAGGGAATTATTTGGGGTAAAACACCAGTTAGACACAAGGAGGTAAAAACAATGTTTAGCAGCTCATGTTGATTGACAGATAATTAAATTTTTATACCTGAAAGTCTTATTTACACAACACACCTGGAATTTGCACCCAGTTAAATTTAATGTCCACTCAAAAAGTATAGTTCTTTTTCAGAGGCAAAGAAGCCCTTTAGTTTTTTTTTTTTAACAGATTGCTCTGTTTTTCTCTCACTGTTCATGAACAAAGATCTTTTTCTCTTTCCAAGGTCTCCGGGGCTGCTCCTCCAAGGCCTGGCAGTAGTTTTGCTCATTTTGGGTTTGATGAGCAACTTATGCATCAGATTAGGAAATCTGAGTATACCCAACCCACTCCAATACAGTGTCAGGTGAGTGTTGTTGCTTCTCAGACTTGTAAAGAGAACGAAAATAACACATGCAAAGCTCCCTCATCCACATGAGGAGGAGACAAATGCAATTCTAGTTGCAGTACAGTGGGTTTTTCTAGAAAAATGGCTTTGGTGTTTTTTAAATACAAGTTTGCTCACTTTTTTTCTTGTTGAATGACCACTGTAACTCTATCCATATTCCTTTTTAATTGTTTATTTTGGTGAATGAAGAACATTCAAGTGATGTCTTTTGCATAGAGAAATGTATGAAAAGTTCAGGGGTTTTTTGTCTTGGGCTTTCCTCATTACCTGAGTTTTCATGTACTGTCCAGCACAAGGATGGGCATAATGTGGGCTTAGAATCTCCTTCTTTTTAGGGTGTCCCAGTGGCACTAAGTGGCAGAGACATGATTGGGATAGCCAAGACTGGAAGTGGGAAAACAGCTGCTTTCATCTGGCCAATGCTGATCCACATCATGGATCAGAAGGAGCTGGAACCAGGGGATGGTCCCATTGCAGTGATTGTCTGCCCAACCAGGGAGCTCTGCCAGCAGGTAGGTGTGTAGCATTCCTGCATGTACCAGCCAGTCTGCTTGGAGAAGGAGGCAAAATCCTTGGCAGAAATTATCAGATAACATCAGGAAAGTATTTGAAAAAATTACTTTGTGCATGAGTAGCCTGGGTCCAGCTCACAGCTCTTTCTTACCATGGTTTTCTTGAAGAATCATGACAAACCTAAAATTTTAAATTTTTGCACCATGCTCCTATATTATTTTTAGGTATAAGAATGCTGTGCATGCATTGTGACAAATTGTATGTGCAGAAGGATAGAGCCTGCAGGTTAAATTATTGTTGGATGCCTAAGTAGGTTTCTCAAGTTACTGGAAATTATCCACACGTGTCGAAGTGTTCACCCCTGAGGAGTCTGGAATCATTCCATTAAGTTAGCAGCTGAGGAGTGCATTTCAAGGTCCCTGCTGCATTTCCAGGGTAGCTGTGTGATGTGAGCTGTGCTGTGTCTGTGTCACGCCCTCAGATCCACTCGGAGTGCAAGCGCTTTGGCAAGGCCTACAACCTGCGCTCGGTGGCCGTGTACGGAGGAGGGAGCATGTGGGAGCAAGCCAAGGCCCTGCAGGAGGGGGCAGAGATTGTGGTCTGCACACCAGTAAGTACTGTGGCCACCAAAACCAGGGCTTTGCACTGTTCAGCTTGAAAAACGTTGTAAAAATCTGTTCCTTTGACGTGAATATTGACACTTAATTCTAGACTAAAACCTTGAGAGGTTTTCTGTTGTAAGTCTCTGGTAAGTCAGGATGAAAAGCAGCTAGGTGGTTGTGCATATTAACATGTTTTTAAAGGTGCTTTAAAAACTTGGAGTTTTTTCTCCCTAGGGTCGTTTGATTGATCATGTGAAAAAGAAAGCTACAAACCTGCAGAGAGTCACTTACCTTGTGTTTGATGAAGCTGACAGAATGTTTGATATGGGGTTTGGTACGTATTGAACCCAAGTCACTATTTTGGAAAGCAATGGTGCCCAGTCCCCGCTTAGGGGGTCTGTAAAATTAAATAGTGAATAAGAAGCACTCATTCTTTCTGTGATTATATGTTAAATAAAGTAATGAAACTGCATTTTGACCTAATTTTTCTAAACCATGAGCTTCCAGGGTTGATGAGAGCATTTCTTCTCCTTTGCAGAATACCAGGTCAGATCAATCGCGAGCCACGTACGTCCTGACAGACAGAGTGAGTAAACAGTGAGTCTGGAGCAGAGCTTGGATTTCCAGTTCTGGACACAGCCACACCAGGAGACTTGTGCCAGAGTCCACTGGTGTTACTCTCAGCATGGGCTGTTGGGAGGGAGCAGTTGTGACATGTGGGCATTGAATTCATCTCTCTGTAATCCCTCCACCGACTGCACTCAGAGCAAAGATGATTAGCTGAATTCATATTCATATACCCTGAAATGCAGTGTTCTGAGCTGCCATGAGAGAAAGTTCACAGCAGTGCCCTGCATTATCAATATTTCAGATGCTATGAAATGTGTTTCCATTTTGTGGTATTCTAACAGTGGTTGGTAATTTCCATTAGAACCCATAAAACCTCAGCTTCAGTTCACTGACACTCAAGAATCCAAGTCCTCCTTCACAACATCTGTGCAGTGTTTTTACAGTTCTGAAAGGAAATTTCTACTTCAAGGCATTTGAAGCCTGTTTCTCTTCCAGCCCTCTTGTTCAGTGCCACGTTCCGTAAGAAGATTGAGAAATTGGCTCGGGATATCCTGATCGACCCAATTCGGGTTGTGCAAGGAGACATTGGAGAGGTAATGCCATAATACCTGTGAGACACTCACAGCAAGGAATTGTTCAGTTTCTGTTCTCTGAAATTTAGGTTAAACTGCAAGAATCATCATTTGTAGTTAGTTTTAAATAATTTGTGCTTAGCAAAAATAGAAAGTTTTAGAAATAGTGGGTTTGTATTTTTATCTTGTTGACCTTTCCGCCATGGTGGTTTATTTTTGTTATTAGGCTGAATCAATGGTTGTATCTTTCAGTTTTGTCTAAAAAGCATAAAAAAAGCCATTGCAGCTTCTGCAGTGAAGAATTTGAAAGTTAAAATCTCTGTCCTATGGTTTACATGGGAAAGTTGATGCTGGACTTGCTTGACAGTGACAGCTGAGCTATCAGCAGGCTGGGATCTGGTAGGAAGCTGATGAAGTGGGCAGATATAAACTTGCTGGGAAGAAACTTTTCTAATAATATATTGAAACTGTTGAGAAATTTCACAAGATGCCTTCAGAACATCCTTCTTTCAACCAGTTCTCTGTATTTTTTGGTTTTTACATCAGGTTCCTTTATAACAAAAGAAATGACTGCCTGAAGCCCCTTCTTTCTGGGAAAAATTTTCCTTGATTTTGCTTAAGAAAAACACCAGCTTTCACAGCTCAATCACTGGGCCTCTATTCATTGATCTAAACTATGACTGTATAATGGGAGCATCATCCATGAAATAGTCCTAAAATGTGTAAAAATTAAACGTTTCAGAGAAAACTTGCTGGTAGCGCTGTAAGCTGCGCTGCACTGTATTACTTGTGATGCAGAACGTGTGGGAAGTCTGTGTGTTGCTCCCACCTTCCTGACTCTGAGGACATTTCTGCCCTTAGGCAAATGAAGATGTCACTCAGATTGTGGAGATTTTCCCCTCTGGGCCCAGCAAGTGGAACTGGCTGACGCGGCGCCTGGTGGAGTTCACGTCCTCGGGGAGCGTCCTCCTCTTCGTCACCAAGAAAGCCAACGCAGAGGAGCTGGCCAATAACCTCAAGCAGGAGGATCATAACCTGGGGCTGCTGCATGGGGACATGGACCAGAGCGAGAGGAATAAAGTCATTTCGGAATTTAAGAAAAAGGGGATCCCCATCCTGGTAGCTACTGATGTGGCAGGTACGTGACCTTCTGGAAAGCAGCTCAGACAACCTCTGGGTATCAGCAGAAAGGCAAGAATGTTTCAGGGGAAGGCAACCAGGTTGGCTTCTGCACCTGCAGGACACTGTGTTCCAGGTGCTTTTCAGAACTATGAAATATCCTGAGCTGGAAAGGACCCACAGGGATCATGGAGCCCAACTCCTGGCCCTGCACAGACACCCCCAGGAGTCTCACTCTGTGTGAGTGTGCAGTACATGGCATTGGCAAGGGGGGTTATGATGCCTAAATTACAGCCTGACATTTTTTAATCTACAGAAAGAAAAGCTGTGTCTTAAGGAAGTGTCGCTGTTCATTGATCAGCTGACGTTCTTTTTGCCCACAGGAGCAGAGCAGGCTGATACCCTGGTACCAGAGCAATTGCTCTGAGTTAATTGGCATAATGACACTTCCCACCACGTTGCTTTTTTTCTTCCAGCTCGAGGCTTGGACATCCCTTCCATCAAGACTGTCATCAACTACGACGTGGCTCGGGACATCGACACCCACACGCACCGGATCGGCCGCACCGGCCGCGCGGGGGAGAAGGGGGTGGCCTACACCCTGCTGACCCCCAAGGACAGCAACTTCGCTGGTGACCTGGTCAGGAACCTGGAGGGTGCCAACCAGCACGTCTCCAAAGAGCTGCTGGACTTGGCAATGCAGGTATGAACCAGCAGAACTTGAGGTGAGGAAGTTTCGCTCCAGATTCAGCACAAAATCAGCCAGCTCATGTTGCTGTCTTCATCAGGTGTTAGCAGTGACCTTTTGGGGATCTCTCCTGGTTTAAAGTAGGTTTCCTTGTGGTTTTAATGGCCTCTGAAAGAATCCATGAAGATTTTGTAACACAGTATGTGATCTATTTTGGGGCCAGGCACTGCCTAGGAAATGAGGAGCTGTAATCTGCTGATGCCAGCAGAGCATTCCAGTGTCTCATTACAGTCAGATTTATAGCAGGCACCTGGGAGATGCAGCTTAGTTGCAAGCTAAACTAGAAAACAATTACAGGGATATTCCCTCTGTGAAAGGATTGTTGCTTGATTATTCCACCTGCCTGGCAGTGTTCTCTGGCAGGTTTGCTATATATAGGCATGACAGGAAGCTGCAGCAATTGTGCTTGTGCCACTGAACTTAACAACTCTTTAATTTCTTGTCTTTTGCTGCCTGTATAGCTGCAAGAGAGCCCAGGCTTTTTGGCAACTCCCAGATTCAGAGATGGATTAGCTCATGTGGACATATTAGCAAGTAGCTTGGACAGCAGCTGCCAAAAGTAAATACTTTTTCTGACAAAGGCAGCATTTTCAGAAGGGACAGAATTAGTGAGGCAGAGCTCCCCTGACTGCCTTGAGAGGAGCATGTAGGAAGCCAACTGACTTATTCACATCTGGAGAGACTGTAGGGCATAAAAAGAGGTGCAGCCAACTATTATTTAAACACCTGGAAACAGCAGGTCTGGTTGGGCTGACATTCCCAGGCCATTGCTTGGAACAGAAAGTTTTGCTGACTGACCCTCATTTCTCCTTAGCCAAGCACTGGGTTAAATCAGTGAAACCAAAGTATGAGCAAGAGCTCCCAGGTGATGGCATTGGAAATTGTGTTTAATTCTGGGTTTATTAGAATGCAAACCCCCAAACCTTAACCTGAATGAGAGCTGAAGGCATAAAATTAGTTTTCATAGAAAGCATTTGTAGCTCAAAGCATCAGACCCACATGGCACAATTGCCTACAGCAGCTGTGTGGTTAAATGGAAAACAGTATTTACATTTTTCTTTTGCAATGCTCAGTATCCCTTTTTTCTCAGCCTCATTACATGCATTTCTGAAGCTTTTTATTCCCTGTGTCCTTGTCCCTCTCTTGCAGAACCCGTGGTTCCGGAAATCCCGGTTTAAAGGAGGGAAGGGCAAGAAGCTGAATATTGGTGGTGGTGGCCTGGGGTACCGTGAGCGCCCCGGGCTGGGCTCAGAAAATACTGTAAGTAGAGATGCTGAGGAGGTTGTTCACAGATTCTTGGCACCTTTTAACTTAGTATTGATTATTCTTTAATTTAAAAAATCTTGCTACTGGATTACAGTGTCTGCTTTCAAAGTTCTCATAGCTCAGCATCTTTCAGAGTTAGGATCATATATCTCAAGTGAAAGTCTCCTGTGCTGTTCTTCTCTTGTTAAGAGCTGGGTTTTTTTAGAGCTAGAGTGATCCAGAAGGTTTGGAGATTCCTCATAAAATAGAGTGTTGCTGTAAAATAAATGCTAATAAGTTACTTCAAAATTTCCAGTCTGATTCCTGGCAGAAAAGAAAAAATGGAGCAAACTATTCCACTGGTCAGGGCCCTCCAGAAGTCTGTCATCCTTAGTGGATGTATCTCCTGAGTGCAGGGCCAGGATAGATGTGAGCAGTGGTTGAACTGAGTGTGTCTGTGAGGGCAGCTGCAGAGGTTGATCCCATTGTGTTTTTGCACAGGACCGTGGAAACAACAACAGTGTGATGAGCAACTATGAGGCCTACAAGCCATCCACAGGGGCCATGGGGGACAGGCTGACAGCAATGAAAGCGGCTTTCCAGGTTGGTTCCATGCTTGGACTCCTTTTCTCCCCTGAAAATGCAGCAGCCCTGTCATTGCAGGGAAGTTGAGGGTGGTGGTTGTGGCTGTGTCATTTGCAGCACACTCAGCATGGCAGTCCCAAGTGGTGGAATTAGGTACGGGCTGGACTAAACACATTTGCACAAATTTGCCAAACTTACTTTGTTTTCTGCTGCCTCTTTGCTCTTTTTTCTTTCTGGATTGTGCATTTGGGCTCGATTCTTTGTAGCAGTAGGGTAATTGCAATCAAAAGGGGAAACAGAAGCTCTTTCCCTTCAGTTTAAAAATGAACCCCACAATGTAAGAATTCCCTTGTTGGTGTTGTCTGGTAGGAGGTGCCTGTTACTAACTCTGTGTCCATAAGCACAGGAGGAATGTACTCATTCCAAGACTGACTTTTTCTAGGAATTCTGTTGCCCCAAAATCCAAGGTGGGCTTGTGACCGCACGATGACTCCGAGTTCTGTGGGGCAGCACAGAGCCAAACCTGCTCTCTCTTGTCTCTCCCTTTCCTGCAGTCCCAGTACAAGAGTCACTTTGTTGCTGCAAGTTTAAATAACCAAAAGACTGGGAGCTCTGCCGCTGGCGCCAGCGGCTGGACCAGCGCCGGGAGCCTGAACTCCGTCCCGACGAGTTCAGCGCAGCAGAACGCTGCCAATCCCGAGGGCCCCATCGCAGCCACGGCAGCGGCGAAGGGAGTGCCGGGCTTCAGCAGCACGGGCAGCCTGAGCAGCGTGCCCCCCTTCCCGAGCGCCGGGGCACAGGGCTTCAACAGCACAAACACCAGCGCCAGCAGCCGGGAGGGCGGCGGCATCGTCAGAGAACGCTACAACGACAGCCGGAACAGTCGGCACGGCGAGGCCCCGCGGCGCACAGAGGGCGGCGCTGGTGGCCGAGGGGAGGGCGGTGCTGGCCGGGGGGAGGGCGCTGGTGGCCGAGGGGATGGCGGTGGTGGCCGAGGGGATGGCGGTGGTGGCCGAGGGGAGGGCGCTGGTGGCCGCTTTAACGAGGGCCAGCGCTTCAACGATGGTCAGCGTTTCAATGATGGCCAGCGCTTCAATGAGGGCCAGCGCTTCAATGAGGGCCAGCGCTTCAATGAGGGCCAGCGCTTTAACGATGGTCAGCGTTTCACCGAAGGCCAGCGCTTCAATGATGGCCAACGCTTCAATGATGGCCAGCGCTTCAACGATGGCCAGCGCTTCACCGAAGGCCAGCGTTTCAATGATGGCCAACGTTTCAACGATGGCCAACGCTTCAGTGATGGTCAGCGCTTTAACGAGGGCCAGCGCTTCAATGATGGTCAGCGCTTTAATGAGGGCCAGCGCTTCAACGATGGCCAACGCTTTAACGAGGGCCAGCGCTTCAACGATGGTCAGCGTTTCACTGAGGGCCAGCGCTACGATGGCCAGCGTTACACCGAGGGCCAGCGCTACGGCGATGGCCAGCGCCACGGCGAAGGCGGCGGCCGGCACGGCGACCCCTCCCGGCACAGCGACGGCCGCCACGGCGATGTCCATCGCCACGGCGAGGGCCGGCACTTCAGCGACTCGCCGGGCGGCAACCGCAACAGCGGTGACAGCAGGAACAGCGAGAGCAGGAACGGAGAGAACAGGAAGGAGGCCAACAGCCGAGACAACAAGACAGATGGCTTTGCTGTCCCAGAGCCCCCAAAACGGAAGAAGAGCCGGTGGGACAGTTAAAAGCTGGGGGTTCACAGCCTGGAATCTCTGCAGGTGGTGGTGTCGTTTTCCAGAGGATTACTTGGGGTTGTTGGGAACTGGTTGTTGAGCAGCTGGGGCAGGAGAAGGGAACCATGAGAGCCCCCATGCGAGTTCATCTGCGGACAGACTCACCCGAATGAAGTGCACACAACTCTTAGTGAAAGAAATCATTTTGATAAAGCTCCCTGGGTTCTGCTTTGAAACATTCAGTGCTCGAGTGACTCTGCTGGATTTAAACAGATCTTCTTGACAAAAAGAAGCTGTTCCACATCCTTGGAACATTAAGAGACTGTTGTCCATAGAAGTATAAATTAGTCTTTTCTTAACCAGCGTTCACATTTACAAACCAGTCCAGTCCACCTAGAGATGCTCAGGACCTGCCTGTTAGACATTAATCTTGCAGCAGTTTGGTCAGTATGGTGAGTTCTTCCTCCATCTCCTTATCACATATTCTCCCCAAATAATTTGGCCTCCAGGTTACCCTTTACCACTCTCCCCATCCACTAAGAATGTATCAATTTGCTTTGCTAAGGTGGGGCAGAGCAAGTTGGTTCCGTTTTTTTTTTTTTTGTTTTGTTTTTTATTTTGGTGTGTGTGGAGCTGTTCGAGGGATCCTTCTCCATCCCAGCAAACCACAAATTCACCTGTAGTGCAGGTTGGACTCCCTGGCTTATTTGTGGTCAGTACTTTAACTCCAATCCCATTGCCCAGATATTTTTTTTCTTTTGAAGAACCTTCTGTTTTCTAATATCCTTCATTCTGGTGGAAGCCTGCATAGCAAACCCGTGTCTCTGCTGTGCCTATGCACCCTCTGTTCTGAGAGGGTTGAGTGCTTTCTTCAAATTAAAAACAAAAAAGGGAAGACAATGTAGATAGACCACAACAATCAGAGGCTGGAGCCCCCCAGGAAGTGTGGCTAAAGGAAGAAGATTCATAAATTCAGGGATCTCTTGCTCAGAAGCCTTTAGGGAGAACTCAGAAAACAATTAATGAAAAGAAACAGCTCAAATCTGGCCTTGTTTTGGACACATGTAGTAAATCTGTAAAATCTTGCTTGCCCATTTTTAACTCATTGTGTGTATTCCCATTTTTTAACTTCTTTTTTTTTTTTTTTTTTTGCCACAAGGTAGGGAAGAACTTTTCAGTTGGGACATGTCAGCACCCACCGCTGGCTCGTTTCCACTGGAAGATGTACCAGAAGCTGTCAGGGTTTTGTGACATTGTGATGTTTTCTTTATCAGCTGTGCATTTACTTTCTGCTTGCTCTAGTAAATGTTTTATTACTGGTACAAAAATATGCAGCATGTGCTTTTTATTCTCCTCTTCTTTGGCTGCCCTGATGTGCAAATGGAGAACTGACAGTCTGGAGATCTGACTGTGTCTGTCTCACCAGAAGTTGTGGATTGTAGCTGATAAAATACTTCCTGTGGTTTTTCTTGGTATCTTTCACCCCTGTTTTAGCTTCAAGGTCTCCTGGGGAATAGATTTTTCTCCACTTTATAAGAGGAAAGGATACAGCCCAGGACATGTGATTGATTTCCCCCAGCTTTTTGTGGGGTCATGGGCAGACCTGGAAGGAGAGCTCAGCAACAGCCCCAAGATCTGACACCTGAACTGGCTACATGATTATTTGGGCCCCCTCAGAAACCAGCTCTGATCTGCTGGAGTTTTTTATAAAACAGTTTCCAGAATTCCCTCCCCACTGTCTGGGCAGGAATTGTTGCCCTGGTTTGAGCTCTGCACATTCAGTGTGAATGCAAGGGTGTTTCAGGGCAGACTGGCAGGGCTTTACAAGCTGTGTTCCCCTTCTCACCCTGAAGATTCATTGCTGCAATTAAAGATTGGAGTTTGAAAACAAAATGTAAAAATAGCCCCATGGTCTGAGCTGCCATCTGCTCCCTCCCTTCCCCGATCCCAGCTCATGCCACTGGGAACCAGCCCCATGTGAGGCAAATGCTGGGGCTTCTCCCCTTCTTGGTAACACTTCCCTCTGCTCCTTTTTAGGATTATTGGAATTCCTCACCCCTCTCCCACCTCCCAGGAGCCTCTTGGGAAGAGAGTGATTAAATATTGATCAGTGCACAGATGTCAGCTTGCAGGGCTGTGTGAGCTCCATGGGAGGGCTGCCTCCATCCCTGGGAACAAGGGAGCAGTGTGAGCAGCATTCCAGCTGCCCTGACAGGGGCTCTGGCCCTGTGCTGGTGTCTTCCAAAGATACTAATTCCTTCCAAGAGATGATTTTAAAACTGTGCATCCCTACAGCCCTTCCCTGGCATGGCTCCTGGCTCTTTGTCCCTCCAGTTCCCTGTGACTCACTTTGCACCATAGCTTTTCACTGGAAGATATGGGAATGCACACAGTTATTTACCTGGTCCCTGTCCTTACCAAGAAATTCCTGCCTTGAGGAGATGTGTAGGAAGAAGATGCTCCATGCCACCACCACCATGCTGTTTAATTTATCTGCCATCTCCACAGATCCTCGGGAAAGCCTTTTCCCAGTGAGCTTTCCCAGCAGGGCAGGAGGATGCTGGGGCTGCTGTCTGTGGCAGGGGCAGAGGGAGAACAGACCTGGCTGGGGCCAGGGTTCCAGCCTTTCCCCCACTGCTGAGTCCAGGCTGGAATGCAAGGTGGAAACAAGCCAGACAGACTCTCTTGACTCACTTCTTAGCCTGCAGTGAGATGACAGGGCCACAACAGTTGCATGCAGGGGCCTTTGTAGTAATGGATGAAGTGTTGGGGATTCAAGTGTACCCTGCACCCTTGCAGGCCATAAAGTTTGTCCTGCCTCCTTCATCCCACCCTGTCCCAGTGCCTCCCGCTGCAGTTTGTGGTAGTGTGATGGTGTTCACTCCATCCATGAGCTGAGCTGCAGAGGATGGAGGAGGGCAGGGTGAGCTGCAGAACAGCCCCAAGGGTGCTCTGTGCTCCCCCTGGCTGGAGCTGGTGCTGGGTGGGGGAGTCCAAGGCAGGATCTGGCTCATGGGATGGGCTTTAACCACCCTGGAGAAGTCACCTCCCACTTGTGGGGGTCGGACGAGCACGGTGGTGTCTCCTGGTGAGGACTCAAGGCTTTGTAAGCACAGAGATCACATCAGTCACTTGCACGTGGAGGAAAACGAGGTTTTATGGCTTGGTTTTGGGCCGGGGTGGAGGAGGAGCGAGAGTACGTGGTCCCTTTGCACCCTGGTTCTGACAGAAAGGGAGCTGGGTTGTTCTGGCTGCTATCCCAGCCCTGGCTCTCCATGCAAGCGTAAGCAGAGCTCAAAGTGTGAGGACCAGCATCCTTCCAGGCACATCTGCATGCCCAGGTGGGGAATCCACCCTCCACTTCACAGCATCGTCTCCAGCTCCTTGCTGGGCTTGGGGTGACACTGAGTCAGCTCTGTCAAATCCACCGTGTTTTCCCCCCGGCCTCTCAGGCTCAGTTCCTGCGCGGGGCAGGTACCGGAGCCGGGGCCGGAGCCGGGCGGGCGGGGCCGGGCCGGGAGCGGCGCTCCCCGGGTGCCGCCCGCTGCCCGCCCCGCCAGGCTCGTGCTGCAGCTCTGCGGGGCCTGGGAGCCGCGGCCGGCGCAGCAGCAGCTGCCGGGGCGCGCCTGCTGCCCCAGGTGCAGCGCCAGGAGCCTCCGGAAATGAGCCTTCTTGATCTCGGCCTGCACCTGCGAGAGCAGAGGGGGCTGCTGTGCCCAGAGACAGCAAAACCGCCTTGCCTTGCCTTGCCTTGCACTTTTCCCTTCTCTCTTCCCTCCCTTTCCCTTTTTCTTTTCCCTTCTTTCCCTCCAAATCCTATTGAGAGGGATGGATCTGAGCTTTTTGCTCTGGTTATCACAGCCTGGGGCTGGAACAGGGAGCTTTAGCTCCTCACTCTTCCCACTTACCTCGCCATTGCAAAAGCAGTAGATAAAAGCCACAAAGAAACCCTGCCAAGAGACCAAAAGAGGTGGAGTGTGAGGTCCCTGAGCCTCCCTAGATGAACATCCCTCAATGCTGGGAGTGTCAGCCCACCTGGGAGGAGTTAAAGAGCATCTCATAGTGCATCTGGATCTGCCACAGGAGCCCGGAGACCTCGGTGTAGGGCATGGCCATGAACACCACGTAGTGGACTCCGAAAAGCGGCATCAGCACCAGCGTGGACTTGAGCAGCTTCCTGGAAGGAGAGACCTCAAAATCATTCCCTAGGGCCTGCAGGGCAGCTCCTGGCCCCACAATGGCCAGGCTGGAGGTGGGAGCAGGAAGAGCTCAGAACTCCAGAGCCTCAATCCAGCAGAGCTGCCAGAGGAGCTGGCTGCCACTGTCCTGCCACCCTTCCTCACTGCTCCAGCCCTTCCCACACCTCTGCTCCTCCTCCATGGGGAGCCATGCTGGCTGAACAGGCAGGACACGAGGCTTTGGTGCTGCCAGCACTTGCCTGTACTGCTGCCGGGGGTCCAGCTTGCCCGTGGTGGTCTCCCAGAGCTTGGAGGCCAACACCCGGACGATGTTGAGGAAGAGGAAGAAATTCACCTGCCAAGAGACCCCACGGTGGTGGTGGTGCCCACTGTGAGCTGGGTCTGCCCCAGGACCCCCAGGGACACAGACAGGCAGCTCTGGGTGAGGTGCAGGCAGGGACATGGCAGTGATGCTGTGGTCAGAGCAGGAGGGGCCAGAGCTCCTGGATCCCTCTGGGCTCTCCCTGGGTGCTGGAGTGGCTGGGACAAAACTCCAGCGAGCTCTGGTCTCTATCAATCCTCTTTCCCCAAAAGGAATTTGGAGGTTCATGCACAGGATTCTTACCACAACTGCAGCCAGAATGGGGACCTGATAAATCCACTTCATGTTCCCTGCACTGAGGTCCCAGCACCTGAGAAGACCAGTAAAGAAACTCCTTGGAGAAACCTGACAGCACTGGGAAGGATGGCTCCCTGTACCCCCAACCACCCCAGCACCCCCAGCTCCTACTCTCCACCCCTGGTGGGCTTTGTGTAAATCTTGAGCTGTGGCTATAAGCATTTGTAACCATCATGGTGGGGCAAAGCAGGTTTAAATGAGCATTAATGTTCCTGAGGGCTCCTTGACCACCTCATTCCAAACCCCTATTGTTCATATGATGGCCTTTCTCCTTTTAAAATGCCTCACTCCAGAATGTGCCCTTTAGCATCCATCTCTGCTGTTTATTGATCAATTTATGCTGCAAACCTGCATCCACCATCCTCCCAAACGCAGAACAAAACAACTATCGCTCTGTATTACTGACAATTCTATCAACAAGCCTTGAATGGTGTTCCCTTCTGTTGTTCTTTTTGAAAATTTTCATTTCCATAAAGCTCTGGTGCCCACAGATACTTTGCTGGCATTTGCAGCACTGTTCCCCTCCCAAAGGCCCTGGAGAGGGTGGGTGTACATACTGTGTATCTGCCAGCGAGGCCCTGACGCTGGCCCAGATGGACACAAACACAGCAGGGAGACCTGGAAGGGCAGGGACAGAGTGAGGAGCAGGGTTGGAGCATCACCTTTGCACATCCAACCAGTTCCTGCATCCCACTGCCCTTCCCTCTCAGCCATGGCCAATGCCACAGCTCCCGGCTGGGGCTGGGCTCTGCTCACCCCAGCCGATGATGATGAGGACCCACAGGTAGTTCTTGTTGGAGAGGAAGGCCATGAAGATCAGGCTGTGCAGGTAGAGACCTTCCACCAGGATCCAGTAGTGGTTGGTGGCCAGAAAATAGAGGAACAGAGTCACCACCACCTTGCAGCCAACCTGTGGGAGATGCCTGTGTCAGGCTGGTCCCCAAAAGCCAAACCTGGTGGCTTTTGCTTTCTGGTCACCAAAACCCAGCTGTGGCCCATGTTCTTCTTGCAGAGACCTGCATCTCCTCTGGGGTATTCCAGCATCTTCCTTCCCATAGGACAGGTATTCCCTGTACACTGGCCAAGGTACTCTGTGGCTTTTGTCTCCAGTGTGCCACCAGGACAGGGAGGAGTTGGGCAGAGCCAAAGCTGGACCTTCATCCCCTGAGCAGCACAGCCCCAGCCTGGGAGGATCCCAAGCACATACCACTGCATCAGGGCTCCTAAATCTCCCTATCCCCCCATGCACCACTTGCCAGGTGTCCCCGCTGTCCTGGCAAGTCGTCCT